TCTCGTCAGCTGCTTACATGGCAAAAACATTATTAAATATATCTACAACAACAATTTTAACATACTTGCACAGAGTTCAGTTTAAACAAAAAATCAATCGATCAATATGAGTGTTATTGATCAAATACAATCAGATGGGAAATAAGACGAGTGTTTTTTATAGTCAAAGTAAGTAAATTGTTAGAATGTTATGATGCACGTGAGTTGAAATACGATTTTAAGATTATTTATTATCCTCCCTCTGATTTGACTGGTGGTAATGAAATCTTCCACACATATCACTGGTATTTGCATTGAGTCATTTCTGTTGCATATGTTGGGTGCAGAGATGATGAACCAGGCAGGATTCAGTAATCAATCTCTCTCTCCACCTACATAGATTACTTCTTAGAATTTTAACCTTCTCTAGCCCTGTTGTATTATTATGTGTTAATGCATGCTGAATGTACATTATCCTATATCGATTTTTTATTCAAATGTCTAATCAATTCCACTCATGTATAGAAATGAAGCAAGAAAGTTGTGTGAGTGACTTGATATGATTATGAGCAGTAATAGCTTGTGCTCGAAACGTCGGTATCAGTTAATATTACTGTATAACACTGTGTGATTTATCAAAATAAAATCTTATCTATAGTGGAGTTATACTCTACCACAGTGCCCCAAGTTTTATACTTCTATGAATCGATATTTAATCGCTTATTTAATCACATAAAACACCTTAATTTAATGTTTTTGTTTTTAATAAATAATATATGGTTCGGTTTGTAAGGGTTAGTTATGTTTTTGCAAGTTGATCACGAATTGATATCAGTTAGAGAACCATTGAAAAACAGGGAGTACTGGACAGCTGCTGTTTCATCCTAGTTTGGGAATCATCGGCAGTACGCCGATAGAAAATTAATCTGATGCTCGCTAGTGACTTACTACAGGTTGGAGTTTCCTGAGTTCTAGTGAGAAGTCGTGACCAGTGAGATCCAATTAGATGTCACGTGTGTGGATGGATGTCTCACCAACGACAATGGTTGGGGTCGCGCTAAATCACGAATTGGTGGAAGTTAGAATTCATGAGCCATTGAATTGGGTCCCAGTGGCTGAATGGCATACGAGTTTCCCTTGTAACCGGAAGTTCCTGGGTTCGAATCCCAGTGGGTGCGTACTACTGATGATTCCCAAACTAGGATGAAACAGCAGCTGTCCAGTACTCCCTGGTTTTCAGTAGTTCTCTAATTGATATCGATCCGTGATCAACTCGTAAAAAAATAATATATGAGGGCTCTTTGATCACGTATCATTTTATTATATGAAAATAAAGCATCTTGAAGGTGTGTTGAGTGCATCTCTTTTTTATTATTAATATTCTTCTTCAACAGATCATATGGACAACATTGACTAACATTGAAAAAGCTAAATATTACTATAAAAAGTGTCATATTAATTCATCTTTTGTTTTTTTAATTCAAATTAAAGTGAACTTTTTATAAATAATTGAATAAAAAAAACTTTTTATTGTCTATTTTTTTTAAAAACTATCGCATTAATTATAATAAGGTGATAAGGTATTCAACAGAGATCAAAGTCTAAAGTATATCTGAAATTCCCATAAATCACACACACCTATAGTGGGATGTACACGATTAATCATAAATATAATGGTGATAAAGTACAATAAATATTTAAATGTAAAACGAAAGCCTATCAATGACTATCTATCATCACTGGTGGGGTGTGTGTGTGTGAAGATTTATGACCCATCTATGAACTTTAATAACAGTATTTTAGTGTCTTTGTCTGGTTAGCAAATTACCCACACATCTTGAAACATTATTTCAGTATAATGTCACACCCCCTATATGTTGATTGATAACATCTATCTCTAATTGTCTGTAAGTTATCATGAGTAATGTGTTTCAAATGTAACAAGGGCAGTCAGTATTCATTGGGTTCCAACATACACATTGTACATTCCCATGTATTTTATATGTACACGGAATGTCCACTCTATTCTAGAACACCTGATAGACTAATGTCACTCTGCCAACCCTCACTTACAATGATTTGAAAATCATCTACCGAATCCATGCTAACCTGCCAGTCGCGTTTTCTTCGTTACAGACTTGTAAAGACAGCAGAGGCTTTGGCAATTCATGACTTTAAGTCAGAACTTTGTGTATAAACGAAGTATGTACAATCCCTACTTCCGACTTGACCGTACAAGGATAGACATTTATTTATTTATGTATTTTGTTTATTTAGCTATTCTATGTACTTTTCCCTTATTACTACGATTATTATTATTACTATTCTCACTCTGAATTGTTTCCGCTTGTCCCACTTGTCATTCTAAATCCAAAATTATTATTTTTTACAATATTGAATTCTATTTTATCAAATTTCACACCATGTTATGTAACATTTTATATTCGCCTACTAATCCTATAATTATGCACCCCTTTACAACATCTATACACCTTATGTATTATTTTATATATGATATTAATTGTTTCGCTACTTGACATTTAACTATGATTATAATCACAAACATTTTAATTTTAGTTGCATTTTATATTACCGTTATTACTTCATGTAATCACGCCTTTGATCTAATTCCCTCACGGGATATAATTTCTTAAAACCATATATATATATATATATATATATATATATATATATATACGATTGTACAGCTTGATAATAAATTCGTTGAAAAGAGTCTCTTTGATGAAAATTTTGTTCTTAATGCTACAATGGGAATTATTAAACTTGAGTATCTATTTTCAAGTATTGATTGTTATAGGGATTTTGTTTTATTGCATGGAGGATTTCATCATGAGCTGACATCAGTTAGAGAACCACTGGAAAACCTGGGAGTACTGGACAGCCGTTTCGTCAGCCTAGTTTGGGACTCTTTATCGGTACGCACCCACCGGGGTACGAACCCGGCTACAAGGCGAGCTCGTAGACCAGTAGGGTACAGCAGGTTGAAGATGGGGCAGTAACTCATTGAAGACATTGCAAAATGGTCGAACAATGTCGTGAATTGGCAGAAGTTAGAATTCAAAGACCGTTGGATCGGGTCCCAGTGGCTCAATGATCTACGAGCTCGCCTTGTAACCAGAAGGTCCTGGGTTTGAACCCCGGTGAATGCGTACCGATGGAGAGTCTCAAACTAGGACGAAACAGCTGCCCAGTATTCCCAGCTGGTTTTCCAGTGGTTCTCTAACTGATGTCAGCTCATGATGAAATCCTCCATGCAATTAAGTATCTGTTGTTGTACTGAAGAGCAAATCTAGCTCGCATTATGCGAGTATGGTAAAATGTCCCCAACCCAAGGATTATTTTTTCCTGTAATACTTTGACAGTAAAGGTATTACAATAATAGAAATGTAATTGAGAAGTGTGACACATGACAAAATGAATGTATACACATAAGCTGAAATGAGGGCAGCACAAAAACGGGCTGTTATTAGTTTGACCGCTCAACAAATATACCGAATAAAATGAATGATGTATCAGACATCCGCGGAGGAGACTGTTAGGTGACACCATGAGCCAGAAATAGCCTCTAGTGGAACTCGAATGGGAAACGACGAGTTGGGCATGGGGTGATATGGCAGAGATGGTGAGATGAGGAGATGAAAGTTTGTGGGGAATTTTGGGTCCAGGTTTTGTTTATTGTATGAAAGCTGGTGATTTTAGCAGCTAAAAACAACGAAGCTTATTCTTGGCTGTCGTCAGTTGATTAGAAGTCAAGCACCTATATCAATGAATCACGGTCATGTATGAGTAAAAATAACTCAGTGATAAGATGTCAGATTGCAGACTTGATTTATGCAGGCATGAATTCCTTTGAAAAAGGAGGTCCGATTTAATGGTACAGGCTCTTGACATACGTATTACAACCGACGTAATTAAGCAACAGAATAGGACGTCATACACAGTGTATCTCATAGTAATATAGGATATGCTAAGTAACTACCTAAATGAATCCTTTCATCTATCATATATTGAATACTTTATTAGTCTGTTGAGCTGCCTGGGTTGAAGAAGCAAATGACCAATAAATAATAGGAGGCACTATATCCAATTTTCTACTGAACAATGTTAACAAAAAATAATGAAAAATACCTGCGAAATCCCGGCCGATAGCTGGCACCTTGACGTGATGGTGGGGCTTGCATATCGCAATAACTCAATGAGCCATACTGGATGGAGCTAATGTTTCTGCAGGTCCTACCTTGGCCGAGACATCGTTTGGATAACGATTAGACTGAAAGCAGTCACCATCCTAATATCAGACGTTTACACTATGTTCGTGGTCTATTGGCGAATAGGGATGTAACAGCGGAAAGATGCTTCCCTCAAATGACCAGCAAACCAGCTATGCTGCCTCTCCGCTCTTGCAAAGAGGGGTTAGAAAAGACTGAAAACTATACATACCCAATCACCTCAAGGAGATAAGATCTTAACACAGAAACAACTCTAAAAACCAACACAAAGAGGCCGTGTGAGACCGGACCTCAAGTAGTTGTCCCCTGGGCTGTGTCGTCATGTAACTCTAATTCCCTTTCTGTTTCAGGTGTTTCAAAAAGAAATCAACTTCTACGGTGTGGACAGCTGGGAAATAGAAGCCGTTCACACACTTTTATAAGCACTTCCAACCCTCAAACTTATGATAAGCTGACAGATATTATCTTCATATTATTTTGTTCCTCTACATTCCCAGTGGAACATAGGGCTTCAGGCTAGAGCTTTGAAGCCTCGGTAACAATAGCATTTATTTTTACGATGTGGGATCGCTAACCTCACTCCTAAACTTTACTTTTTTTTTACCTGTCTTATCACCTGATTAGGGAGGTTTACGAGTGCGTCTGTGACCGGAGATCGAACCCCAGACCAAGTGAGGGGTGGTTGGCGAGCAGTCTACCGCTGTGCCACCTACACACAGATATACCATGAATCAAACAAAATGCAATATATACCACAATAATTTTACTAACTTTCTCAAGAGTAACATTTAATTCTTCTGTACTGATGAGATGACAAGCATCGCCAGCAGAATCTGAGATTGGCGGAGAAGATAAACACGGAATAGTATAATTCAAGAGAATTGAACATAACAGAACATTGTTTTGAGCAGATTTAAAGCTTTCAATGATATAGTCAACGATAACGCCTGAAGGAATTATAACTGTTGACTGATTTTTGTCTGACTTATCAGATGATAAACCAAAACTTCGTAATAAGATTACAGCGAAATCCTCCAGTTGAGACTGTTCGTTAGTCTAAAATAGAATACAATAAGACAATGAGATGGATAAACATAGAAGAGTAAGAGTTATGACTACTGAATGCTAAAATAACCACAAGTTCAAAGGAAAAAAAACAAACCAGAGAGGATGGACTAATTCTTCAGAGAGTAGTAGTAGTAGTAGTGTGCCGAGAGCTGGTTGTTAGCCAAAATTGGTGGACAGTAATTTACGTCAATGTTCATGTCCCCCAATATTGGCCGTGAGAGAAATGAGAACAAAGGCTTTGCGTAGGCGGATACAGTTAACATATAGATGATCTGACATTCAAGAAACAGTCACAAAGAGATGAAAGATTAACGTTCAGCGAGAAACCACCAATCAGAAGACTCTGTTTTTCTGCTAACAATAATCTATAATAATGTAGATAAAAATCTATAAATATGTGTTGATTTCCTTAATAAAGGATCTGTTGCCTGGCCCTTGTCTTCTGTTGTTACAGTAGTAGTATTACTGAAGGTAAATTGATAAGTGTATGAGCACATCACGACGACATGAAATGAAACTGGAGAACTGATGCATTATTAACAATATCATTTTCAAAACAATTAATTTCCTTTATGAATTTAGAAAAAGCAATAAGGAAACGTAATTTGTCTGAATCGTGTGTAATGTGCATTTGCACAACACATTTCGAACAATCTGATCATAGGAACAGATATACGAAATTAATAAAGAGTTAAGAGGTGAGAAAATAAATCTAGGTCAAGGTAAAAGGGCACATTGAAGGTCAAAATAACAATGAAGACCACTAAACCAAATGACAGAGGTAACAGTACATCTGCTATGGTATCAAAACAAAGTTTGCCAAGGAAGGTTTAGTGTAATGACGAGTTTTTTTTGAACGCATAAATGTGGTTCAAACTTTCAAATTGTCAGCTGGGGCTTCCACAAACTTTAGGATACGCCCCAAACACATCTTATAGATAAGTTTAAAAAACGTGTAAACGTCACTTTTATGTCCTGTCTCAATAATATTTTTCGCAATAGAGGAGCTAGGTTTCCTGTTTTCACCATTTATGGGTTCAGAAGGTTCCATTTGTTTCTGCAGCCATTTAGGAATATGCTCTGAAGCACCTACTTGCAAAGATCGGTGAGTTTTCCCTATCTATGTGTGCCCAGATGTACATTAGAATTGGTTATTACAGTAGGATGCAACATCATTTTTCGCATGTTCTAAGGTGTGAGATGGATATATCGGCTTCACATTCTCAATTATTATGATACAAGTTGCATAAAGTCTTTGTCTAGTTATTAAGCTGCTATGATCCCCTATATAGGGTAGCTTGGTGTACACGCCTTTCTTAGGGGCGAGTTAGAGAGTGGGTCTTGGTATTCTGACTAATTTATATCTCCTGATGAACTTGTCTGGATAATTATTATCAACCAGAGTTTGTGTCAACTTTCTTTCTTCCTCATCAAGTGTGTCTTCAGTGCATATTCGTTGGATTCTACCGAGGACAAATTACGTCTTCTTATTGCTTTGTCTAAATTATATTTTCTTTCTTTATGCAGAAAAAGTGTTACAACAGACCACAGTTTTACAAACAAACAAAAAGCAGTAAGAATAATAGCACTAACAGAAAGATAATTTATTAGGTGAGGGGAGGGGAAATTTCCCTCTGAAATCATCACTGTTTAGCTAAGCAGCATTGGATACAGACAGTTGATTTTAAAACACGCTGAATATATAATACGTAGGACAAAATAACTTTTCAAAGGCAACAAAACAGAACTAACCTGTTTCGAGTATGCATAAATTAAGCCAGAGACACAGGATAAAGCAAGAGCGGAGACATGTGTTTTATTTCTTCTTTTCTCTATTTGATTCGCCTGAAATAAGAAAATAAAATTTTTGTTTTGAAAAGTTATGAAAATCAGTTGCTAGGCAATGAGATCTTGCGGAATATATGAATACTGTCAAAAATAAACAACCAACATAAGGCTTTCTACAACAATGCATGTGTGTATGTATGTATGTATGCATGTGTGTATGCATGTATGTATGTGAGTATTTGATAACTTGGATTGATGTAAGTCTTTGTAAAGTCCTATATTAATTTGTCAGTCAATCAATCGTGATGTGAAGTAAGAAGGAGACACACAGAGAGAGGCTGATATAAGCACTACCTTATTTTAAGAAGCTGATATTCATATTCGTGGAGATGTGATCGATTGCCTGAGACATTCAACTTTCAGCCACTGTGTCTAGGGTCGGAATCTCATCAGACCTATTTAACTCTGGACAAATGAGTAGTATCAACCGCCCCACCCGCACACAAGTTTGGCTCACAACCTGACACACTATAATTCTATTCTGGGTGGCTTTAAATAATTTAACGTTGATATTACTCGACAGCTCGCTTGCACTTCCATGCACAGTTGGCTATGGGCCATATCTACTGTATGAAGGTTAGTGATACTAACTGACTGCCCAAATCTAGATAGTTGGGGTGGGGTTCGAACTCTTGACTCCTTTATTGAAAGTCTAGAGCTTAAACCAATAAGCTACAAGTCGAATACTCGCATTCCATCATTTTTAGTATTGGCATCCACAAAAGCTTATCGATTTAGTGAAATGGAATTTAAAATGGCAGACTGGTCAACTTTTATTCTCTAGTAATTAGGTTAAAATAATAAAATCATCCACTGTTCTACTTTATGCTTTCATATGGTGATTAAAACACTTATACGCCTACCATGATGCTAGACAAACCAGACAAAGCAAAAATACTGAAAAACCTTCACAAGAATAATCACATGTACCAAAATTTGATCGATGAGTCATATTAAGAATGAGTAATAGAATGATAAGAATAGAATTCTAGAAAATTGACTTGTACAGGAAGGACTAACGCCCATTATCTCGGAATTAAGTACATAAGAGTGATGAATACTACAGATAGACAGTATGAATTCTCTTTTCCAGAATGAATAATGCACTTAAAAAGTACATGGGGTAAGGAAAACTAATAAGGTAGGTTGAGTATTCATACTCTATAGGATAACTATTGAAAGTTATCCCCGTGTTCACTGCATATACATGCACACTGACAAATGACCCACTGAAGTAATGAACACAATTTAGACAAATATTAGTAAATAATTATTTATAGATTTTAATAATCATAAAACTCTACATATTGTTTACGAATAAGAGAGATAGGTGAAGTTAGCAATAATATTAGCACAACCTTAACATATATACCACCCACTAGAATATCATCATACGGTTTGTGTTTAGAGACTGCAGTATCAACAAGCGATTGAAGCTTCTCTTGACCTCATAAACGACCTGAGGGTGAGTAGATTTCAGTCCGTCTCATGAAGTGTTTTCATATGGCCACACGTTCACAGCCTCTGCCACGTAAGTCCTATCCAGTGCGGAGGTGGTCCTCAAAAAAGTGAAAGGGCCACTGAGGATGTTTGGTGCTTACAACCGGACTGGAGGACATGCTGGTCTACCTGAGGGAGCCGGAAAATACGGGCTCCAGATTCCGAAAAGATAGAATAGCGTATGAACCTTTTTTTGGTTACGGGAAACCATGGGAACGTAGCTCCACTGCCTTGTGGATAAGACTTCAAGTCAAAAGCTCAGGAGGGCAGTGGCCTCTTAAGAGAAGCACCTGCTTCAGTCTGGGTATCATCGTAGCCGTCACATAAACTATGAGATTTTGTGTGACACATCTCTTCGTGACCATAACGTACCAAGTTGACTAGGAGAAATAAGAAATTTTTCTTACGAAATTGTTGACAATAGCTCTATCATCGAATACAGGTGCTTCATTTCTCCTTTGCATTCCGACTGAAATACAGAACTGCAGGATTTGAAATTCCAGTAGCACTGGTGCTCCCGGTCTCACACCCAACCTTCCCTCTTTTCCAGGCTTACTACCACAGGGAAAAACACTAGATGAAGTCTAATACTTCATCAGCTGGGAATCGACCCCGAATCTCCCTCATGCCTGGTAAGCATTTATCTATGGGTGTTTATTAGAACAGAATTTAAGATTGACATAAAAATTGTGTAGCTAAAGGTTAAGTCTTAAATCTACGTCTCTTATAAACGAAAATTGATTTCTTTTCATTTTGTTTTATTTAGTATCTTAACTGAAATTTCAGTTGAAGTATGTATCGGTTACCATGTCAACATAAGAGGTCTACTTTCACTATAAACTCTATAAGACACACTTGAAGCCGATTGTTTTTTCGTGAACATCACTCAATGCCTCCTTATGCTGATAATTATACCTGTGATAATTTAATCGCTTATTGTGCACCAAATATCACATATAACACCTTCAGTATGACAAACATATACTTCAATTCAGTAAACCGGTAACGGTTTATACACATTGCCATAACACGCGTTTATTATGTGAGCGCCTACGATAACACATTTGTCTGCTAGATTTATTATTATTGTTCCCTTGGGTTCCTAGTGGAACATAGGGCTTCAACTGCACGTCTCCACTTGCCACTTCTGTCTCTCTTCTGCTGTACTTCCCACCTGTATCCATGTTAGTCCATACCGTTTCAACTCCTCTTCACACGATCTCCTCCATGTCACCCTAGCACCGACGACTCACTCACCGCTTCCCTTTCGGCCTGGTTCCACTCGAGCAATGGCCTCACGCGCGCGCGATGTCACCCAGCGGCCTCCTCAGCGAGTGAGTGTCCAATCCATCCCAATTCACTTTCTCCTGCATATTTGTTAGTTGGCGATTGGTTCTTCCTTTGTTTGTTTGTTCCCAGCCAGAGTTTCTTGTTGGTGATTCTTTCCAGCCCGTCCCTCCCATCTGATCTTCAGTATAGAGCTAGCGAAGACAGTTGTTGATAAAGGTAACGTCTGCAACAGGCTGTTGGAAATATTCTTTGTGACCCGTCTGCCCGCCAAGTTTCTGATCCGATCCGTATAGAAGAGCTGAGTGACTTGACGTTTGTATTGCAAATCAGACTGGATTTTGTTGTTGATTCTGGCTGAGTGACGAAGATTTCCAGATTGATTTCAGATTGGTTGACGAGTGTGTTTCTCGCCTTCCTGATTCTTGCTCGATTTGACATGCTAGTCCGTTCCGACTTCCTGTAGTTGAGACAATGCTCAACGCTAGATAAGTGAATGAATGAAGTAACCTGTTTCAAATCCCTCCCGTTGATGGTGGTTGGCGCTGGATGTTGCTGTTGTTGTTGTTGTTGACTGGTTATTTTCATAACCTCCGTCTTGTCTATGTTCACCTGGAGTCCTGTCTCCGCCGGCTGCTTCTTCGACCAGTTTGTCGGTCGGTTTTCGCTTGTAAGTCTTCGATTTTGTGTGTGTGACATCAAACATAAATCATCCACACGCGAAATCCAGGTCTTCTAGGTTCTTCACGTCGCTCCAGGATATCCCTGCCTGTTCGTTTCCCACTCACTGTCTGACGCATAATCCAGTCAGCCCACCACAATTAGGAATATCATTGGTGGGTGATAATAATCACCCTTATCTGACTCCTGTGTTTACTCCAAACGCCTCGCTGAGTTTTCCGTTGTGGATGACTTGACATGTGCCGTTGTCGTACAGCTGTTGAATAAGGTCAGTGAATATTTGGGCACTGCAAGCCGTAGTACTCGAGTAGTTTCCAAATTACTTCGCGGTCAACGCTGTCGAAGGCCTTCTCAAAGTCTATAAAGTTGAGGTAGAGGTTTGATTGCCATTGCATGCTTTGTTCTGTGATGATGATGTGTAGAGTTGCAATTTGGTCAGTACATGATTTGCCTTTCCTGAATCCATCTTGTTCTGGTCGGAGTTCTGTATCCAGTGCGTCCTTTATTCTCTGCCAGATTGAAGTAAACGCCAAAAGATTTCAAAAGTGGATTTGTTGCATGAAGGTCGACCTAATAATCCTGTATTCCATATCATCTAATGCTATCGGTTTGTCAAGTTACCCTACAGAAATTTCATAGTCAGATGCAAGATATCAACCGGTTAACTAATTCATAGTTAAACTTGAAAGGCATCGTTGACAGAGTGAGAAAAATATCAAGTATAACTTGTGTAGGAAAACATAGAAGCTAAACCATTTTAGTTTCGAAGACTTTATCACAGATATCCTAAGAAGAATGATTTCTCAACCAAGACATTCCTTATATTTTAGCCTATTGAATTAGCTACTCTACACACATATGGTCACCTAATCCTGTGAAGTCAGGTATTTAAATCGTCCGACTAGTTATCTTTTAAAAAGTTATCCACTTTGTCAGGAAGTAAGCATCCCTGGAGCAAATAATTAACGACCTTTTCAACACCAATTATACAATCTTAACTGATGCATCATTCAGAATCATTTATGAAAACAAAAGGAATTTACTCGATAAAATGTGCTTCCAGTTCTCCTACACTGTAGAAGCCCTCGGTATATGTATTTAAGAAGTAGAATCATGAATACAAAAGACGCTTATTTAACCCGTATCTACTGCGGAATAAGTTGATTCTGTTCAAATGTCAGCTATTTCTCTTCACACTTCAACTTTCTCTTCATCTGCTGCCTGCCTAAAACGATCTTCATCCAGTCAAAAGAATTTTCCATTGTCACTTTCGAATATACTTTCATATACACAACTCCTATTTTTAAATATCATAGCCAATTTTTTTCATGTCCTGCTATATATTTTTAATTTTCCCTTTTTATATGATGGAGTATTCAGCGTAGAGCTTTGCACACAAGTGAAGGAGTTAAAGTTGCCGAACTCCTCATAGCACGAAAACGTAGAGGAAAATAAACAGCTCAAAAGAATTATAGTAAGCAGAAATGTATGAGAAAGAAACAATGTCAACACGTGGAATAATGAGGAACTAATCGATCCAGGAGATTATAAAGATTGAAAGCATTTGCAACATTGAAGAACGATTTTTAGCTACATCACTAACCAGTCAAAGACTTCAAGCCCTGATGCCATGTTTCAATTCGGACATCTCATATTATTTCCAACTTATTCCTATGCTAGCTAACATCCCTCGATAAAGAGATGGTAACTTGGCCTGAATGACACATCTTCTAGCCACTTCAGTAGATGCAACTTCATAAGTTAATCGACTGACTTACACCTGCTTACCTAACATTCGATGCCTAACTTATTCATAATTCACTATAGTATGTCAGCCAACACGCAGAGAGAACGCATACATCTGTGATCGACGACACCTTATCTTTTCATACCTCCCACTTCTAATGGCCATGTCACACAACCATAAATCAGGACAGGACGAACTGATTTGCAAAATACACGTCCTTTAGTCGGTAGGCTAACAGCACATCTACGTTAGAGACGATATAAAATGACAAGTGTCATACAAGCCTTTTGTATCCACCCAGAGATTTCGTCAGCAATCAGTCCTATTAGAGCCGATGCAACTTCCCAATGAGTGAATTGATCAACACACTCAAACAATTCACTGCCTATCTTCAAGTTAGGAGTCAGTGCAGGTCAGTCTTGCAGCACTATCCAACCTTTAAAAAGGACAAACATACTAAGGTTTGCGCTGAAACCCCCTTTCATCACACTTGCTTTTTTCTAAAGATCTTACCTTAACCTCATCCCTGTTACTGTTTCCAGGCTTATATCTGTTTCATAACGGAAAACAAAAATTTTAAAGAATGTGCTATTGCATAAGATAAAATCCTATAAACAGGTATTTTCACTGAATTTTTTTGTTTTCCCTACAGTTTTGGTAGGTATGTTCGGTTTGCTCTAACACAGTCGCTAATTTTTTTAGTGTTGTAGGGTTTTTTCAATTTTTGTCTAGTCATAGTGAGCTACTTAAAAGGCATTTAAGTAGTTAATGCAATAAATACAAATATTATATGATTCATTTGCAGATTTCGGGTAATATAGGAATGAAATATGATACATAAACCAAATAACGATATGATGACTATCATATCCTTTATCCACAGTCAGTTAGAAATATGTCTCATCATAAAGAAAATGCTCTGATATAACTAAAGACAGAAGTAAGTTGTAGATTCAAAGACACTGGATAATTCATGTTTCTTTATCCATGTATTTTACTGGTTATTTTGAAAACCGTTGGAAATTGACTGCCATCACACGGATGTTTGATCTTGGTTTACGATTTTTCATCAGTGTTCATACACGATTCTGATTTCGCCAACAGAGTATAGTATCGTTCAGATGTAAAATTAATTCTGAACAGTAGATTGAAGAACAATAACCACATACATGGTGTTAGAAGCAGTAATGAGCCTGACTTACAGTAAAAGGACGGCTGCTGCTATATGGTTGCACAAACCTTAGTAGATCGATTCAGTATTCAAAACTTAGATTCCACCAGTTATAAGTTGAACGCGTAGACCTACATTTGAGACACAGCATTGTGGTTATCAATATGAACAACTTTTGACGCATAAACATTTAGGCTTCCTCACACTGGGTTCAAGATATACATGTTTATAGCTTGAACAGAGCAACTTTATTTGTAAATAACTATTCAAAAACTTACATAAACTTTGAAAGTATAAATTAGTACACAACTGCTACTTACAATTTTAATCAATGCAGGAAAAATTACACCAAGATAGGGAGAAATATGTCGTATTTCGATTGGATTTCCATCGGATAGAAGTTGATCACCATCATTCCCGTTACTGTGCATCAGTTGTCCATGTAAGCAGTCAGTTAGTAAACTTAAAGCATCCAATTGACCATCTGTCCAATCTGATTCAATTTTCTCACATATAAGTGGCATCAATAGATGACCAGTCATATTTCGCATGGCAAAAAGACACTTGTGTAGGCTAGCAACGAGTATATCACGTGTGATACCAGAAATACCACCACCAGGAGGCTAATAACAATGCGAAGAAATGAGATAACACTCAAAGTTTAACTTTTATAGAAGGTAAAAAGTGAAATAATCAAAAGAATATGAACCAACTGTATGAAGCCCCCATTTTAAACCATAAATAGACAAAAGAAGTCAAAGACGTAGAATGCAGTAAAGGCGCATCGATTCAATTTAATGAATCACTCAACAAATCAAGACTCTGAAATAATAGAAAAGATTTGTAACTCAGGTGGATGATTTGGAATTGATAGTGTTCTGCGCTGAAGATGTCGTCCAGAAAGACGATGAAAGCTCCGCAATTAAACCAAGGAGCTCAGAGAACACTATCAATTCCAAATCAAGACTCTATTTCTCACAATGATAAGAAATACAAGTGAACAGTGCAGAAAATAAACAGAAAACATTAAGAGAGAGAGAGAGAGAGAAATTGAAGCCCGCATCGCTCAACATTACAGTTAACCCAATGAAGAAGGTCACTGACGACGACTTGATATTTTTATGTAGCAAACTTTTGTTTGTCATTTTTCAGTGCATATATAGTAATGGTTTAAAAAGACTGATTTCGACTGTATTTGTATCTATTCAGCATTTCAACTGCTCCTGTGGGGACAGTTATAATAGGCATAAAACTATGTAGGTTATACATCGTGTCAGAGAACATCTACCATCACAGCTGGATAAAGAAACTCCGTTTTGCATTATGTAGTTGGTAATGGTCATTGAGTACACAAAACAGCAGCACTTCGTGTGATTTATTGTATCCTGCCTAGACTTACATATTCGTTTACTACACATACTTGGGGCTATCTAACTATCTACTCGATGACCAAGCCTAGACTGTGTTTACAGCTAAAATGTGTGCACAATTGATCGCTCCCTTGCCTAAGAAATACCTTACTAATCATTTATTTATTATATATTTTATTCCTTTACATTCTCAGTGGAGCATAGGACTTCCAGTTAGAGCTTTGAAGACTCAGTAGCAGAGGTGTTTATTTTTACGAGATAGGGTTGCTAGTCTTAGGCCCAACCTTCCCTCTTTACCAGTCTTACTATTGGCTTAGGGAGGTTAATGAGAGCGTCGACCGGGGATAGAACACCGGACCACATGAGGCCAGGTTGGCGATCAGTCTACCACTGTGCCACCGACGTACAAAGATAAAGTTTATAGGGGTGTGATTTGTTTTAAGTTTAGTCACGAATTGACATCATTCAGAGAAGCACTGGACGACCATGGAATACTCAACAGCTATCTCGTCCTAGTTTCAGAGTCTCCAACAGTGTGCACCCACCGGGATTCGAGCTCAGGACATTCCGGTTACAATTCAGTCACTGGGTACTTTACCAATCACATTCTCTTTCATTCATTTTTATCCCCTTCTTACAATTTCTCTTGTCAACACTTTCATATCTTTATTAAAACTTTTTAGACGTTTTGATTAACTGTTTATTTGAACATTTGGTGTTTGCACCATTATTATTATTATTACATACTTCTCCATTATTTATCATTATTAGTAGAAGTATTATATTTTAATTATAGTCATTATCACAACTTCGGCTGATTACCATGACTAGTTTAGAGATAATATTTATACGTGAAGTTATGTAGATTAGATGAGATTTAATTTTAAAAAATGGTAATTATTCAGACATAATTTTGTTTACGATAAAAAGGGCTTTTCTTATTAAAAAAATAAATAAATAGGAGAAGCATTGTAACTGGATATTTTCGTATAGAATTCAAATCTTCAATCAGTAGTGTTTTACAGATAATCGTCAAGCTATCTCCTTAACTTTAATAAAAAAGCAGTTTTTATATTGACCTGCGTGACCAGTAGGATGCAGCAAGTCGGGTGTGAGGACAAATACTCGCTGAAAATATTGGCTAGTGGTCGCGCTATGTCGTGAATTGGCAGAAGTTAGAATTCATGGACTGGCCATTGGATCGCCTCCCAGTGGCTTAGTGGTCAACGAGCTAGCTCGCCCTGTAATCAGAAGGTCCTGGGTTTGAATCCCGGTGGGTGCTTACTACTGAAAAGTGCCAAAGTAGGACGAAACAGCTGTCCAGTACTCCCAGGTTTTCCAGTGGTTCTCTAACCAATGTCAGCTAATGATGAAATTGTGTATAGTAGTGTTTGAATTTCTTAGTAGAAGTGTGTGATACATAACATCAACTTGTCAGCTGTCTAATTATCACGTATCGGTTTGCAGAGATTTCATTGGTCACTGGTTTGATAACAAGTAGATATCAATCAAAGAACCATTGGAAGAGTCTCGAATTGAGACGAAACATCTGTCCAGGTTCTCCAGTGGTTCTCTGTTTCGTGTCAACTCGTAGTCAAACCTGTAAAATGTCGAATTCCCTTCCTAAGATGTACAATTATTTACAGGCGTAAAAATAATCTTTCTCTAGAACAATCTAAAAATAACATAAAATTAAAACTTACTGGTGAAAAATCTATTGGGAAGTAAACTGATGTTGTTTCAAAAAGTTCATCTACGAATTCTGTCACTGATAAATATAAAGCAGTTGATCAAAAATAAGAAAAAATTATATTTCATACATGGATACAAATCAACAAATCAGTAAGAAGTTAGGCATATCTCATTGAAAAATTCCCTTTTATACATTTAAGTAGAGAAAGAACAGTCTGGATTTCGGATTGTGAGGGCGATTGTTACTTCCCGGCTGCCCACACCGTGGAAGTTGGTTGCGTGACCACAGAGCTCAAGGAACAACTGCTTGAGGCCGGTCACACGCGGCCTGTTTTTATTTTATTTTTGATTACAGCTTGATTCCACGCCGTATTTTTGGTACAAGTATGGAATTTTCAGCATATGATATCGGTAGCTCAAATTTTGCAGGCCGACCATAGATATCAGGTGTGCGTCGGCGTGGGCTCGAACCTCGGACCATGTGCATGGTCGTTCTTTATTGTTTGGTGTATCTAAGTAGCATATTTATCACTCGTGCCCTGTGACACGAGAGCAGGAAGCGCGGTTCCGACCGATCCGGCATGATATTTTGTGAATTTGTATGTATCATAGTGTTGGATTGGGTAGCTGCTTTTTGTTTAACCACTATCCAAACAACCTTTCTGGAATGGTAGGAACTCAAGAGACATAAGTCTCAGCCAGTATAGCTTGATCAGGTCTTTGCGGTGTTCAAGCCCGACCACCACGTCAAGGTAGTAGCTTTCAAAAACATTTATGCAGGATAGCATAGATCCATTTTACTTCACTAGTTCGCATCAGCCACGTACAACCTATAATCTTTAATAAATATAAAAGTCGGTATACAGTTTCAACCTACTTTTGTCTATCAGCAGATATACTGTAAGAGCGTCATACTGAAACAAAACAACCAGATGATAGGATATCTGAAGCCTTACAATGTTGTATATAATCTATCCATATATGTCCTATTGGCGAAGAGTTTCTCGAAAAGTTGACAAACAGATTTGTTGTTAAGAGGATAACATACATTAGTAACAGTTATGCAGTTAGGTAAGAGGCGGGGCACGCGTGTCATTATAAGTACTTCTAACAGGCCTTCTCTGGCTCGATACTGCAGGTCAGATGACCAGAAATGAAAAGGAACGAGGAACTCTGGTAACAAACCAACCAAGAACCTATTGCCCAACAAATATGAAGGATGAAATCGAGATTGTTTCAACATACGCCGAGGAGACCTCTGACTGACATGACGCGCCAGACTGTCAGGTGGAACCCCAATGGGAATCCACGGGTTGGGCGTGGATCCAAGGGTGACATGGATGAGATAATGTGGGAAAGAAATGAAAACTTATGCAGCCAGTTAAAGAGAGAGAGAGAGAGAGAACAGGATGGAACAGAGATGTTCTACAGTTTGAAGCACTGAAAAGCAGCAGACAAGTAGGTAACCATGATATGGAGTGTAAAATAACTCAGAACACAATCGATTGGGAAAAAATGACTATATATAACACATGAATACAAACAAATAAAGAGAGGTTATCAGTCTACACAAAGTCATCGAATACGCTTAGATCTTTAGTGTGTAGTGTTTGTTATACGTTAACTCAGGACTGAAATGTACTGACAGTTAGATTAAATATAATACACTTGAAAAGAAAAAAAAACATCCGATTAAATTACCTGAAGGCAAAGCTTTGACAATTATTGCATTCATTTGAAAAATTAATTGTAAAACTTGTGGATCTTTTTCTCCATCAATAGCAACCAGATAATTTTTGATAAAAGAGGATTTCATTGATTGAATACCTTTAAAGAATAAAAATATTGAAAAGTAAAATTATTAATTTGTTCATAGACATAATGTTGAGAGTACTTTAGAATATTTAATAGGTGTTGACATTTCTTCTCAATTGAACAATCAACCTTAAGTTCACTCCACTTTCCAGTAATGGTTTGCCGGTTTGAATCTTCCTCCAGTTACCTCAAATTGAGCAGGTGGGTCGTAGCATCAGCCCTCTCACAACCAATGTGGCTTATAGTCTCTGATATCGGGCAGGTGACTTCTATGTTCACGTATCGGGTTGTGAGTCGTATACGTATATATCCCATTACATTTTCTAAATCTCGTTGAATGGAATATTTTTATTTATTTAATATTTCTGATTACAGCTTGATTCCACACTATATTTTTGGTACAAGTATGGAATTTTCACAGCATATGATATCGGTAGCCTAAATTTTGCAGGCCGACCATAGATATCAGGTGTGCGTCGGCAGAGGATCGAACCCCAGACCATGTACATGATCCGCGAGAGTCCTAACCGCTGTGCCACCGACGCATGATTCAGTAGCGTCAACTAGTGGTTAAAAGTCGTATTTTAATTGACGAAATATAGTTCAAATCAATGCTATTTATGAGCAGACGAAGTTAATAAATATAAATTCATTAAAATCATTGTAGTTATAGAACAAGTTATAAGGCGGAAAGCAAGAACCAGATAGTAGATATTTATTTCTCTTTGATTCAGAAACAACGTTTGTTTATTGTTAAGGTTTATACTATAACAGTAGGTCTTATTTCGATATGAAAAGAAGTTAAGTCTGTCGGTGTACTGCTCAAGTATTTCCAGATTATTATTATTATCTCCTTGGTTTCCGAGTGAAGCCTAGGGCTTCAACAACACATCTCCACTTTATTTTATTTTCTGTTAGGTTTATTTCAAGCTAGAGTGAGATAATATTATTATTTGATGGCCTTTCGACGTAAAATAATTATTAAGTTTTATCTTGTAGCAAGGGTGGGGATTAAGAAGATCACAATACGTTGGACCGATATGAAAACTCTAGCAGATATGGATTTCTCGGATGATTTATGTCTATTGTCACATAAAACTCAAAGACTTGCAGGTGAAAAGCAACAAGCTGGCAGAAGAGGTCGGTAGCGAAGACAAGATTCCAGGTGAACACATAGACAAGACTATAACCGTAAGCAATCGTCATCAACGCGAAAGATTTGACAGAGGTTACTCCATTCACCTATCTGGCTAGGAGGCACGGTTTCAACCAAAGGTGGATGGTATGGATGAAGATGTCAAAGCGCACCAGAACGAGAAAGGCAAAATACGCCTTCATCAATCTGAAACCAGTTTGGAAATCTTCTGCACTGCACTCAGCCAGCATACACACAACAAGATTCAGATTCTGTTCAACACAAATGTGAAGTCAGTTAGTACTTCAATATGGTTCAGAAACTTGTACTACGTGTCACGAAAAGGATTTCCAACAAGTTACAGACTCTTATCAACAGCTTTCTCCTTCGCTGGCTGGCTCTACAATGAAGATCGAATGACCGGCAGGCCAGAAATTTCGGCCGGGAGTAAACCAATCAACAGCCTACCGCTCAACAAATATGTAGGAGAAAGTGGATATGGATGGGGTCGTCCAATCAAATCGTGCGCCAGGCCCTCGAGTGGAACCCCAATGAGAAGCGACGAGTGGGTCGTCGGTGTGAGGGTGACATGGAGGAGATAGACAGCAGTAGATGACAGACTATGGGCAATCACAGATCCAGCTGAAGAAGACAGCAGAGAATAGAATAAAGTGAAGATGTGTTTTTGAAGACCCATATTCCTCTAGGAACCCAAGGGAATAACAATAATCATCCTGTAGCGAGTATAGCTGAAAGGGAAACTGGTGTTTTGTCCAAACTAATTTTCTCAGAGAAATACTTTTGTTTAAAACTTAAATTTAGTATTAAGACAATAAACTAGATTCCACCAGACGCGACAAGCCTTATTATTTCACTTTACCAATGTGTACTCCAACTCGATTTTACCGCCTTCAGATAAAAATCTATTTTCATTTATTATTTGAGTAAGCGGTCACAAAGCAAGGTGTAAACGATACTCTGTACAAGATGTATAGTCTAGTGTTGGACGATGAATAAACTACAATTAGTCACTGTTATCCCAATTTATACTCACTCATAAATGTATCCAAATTGCTTGCCTAGTGATTTTTATTTGAAATTAGGTCCTGTATGTTCCAGGTTGAACCACACTTATTGTGTATGAGCTGGTGATATTAGCCAGTTGACTGGAGTGAAATAGGTACAATGACCGAGATTCACTGGCTGAAAGTCCAGCACTTAAACCAATAAGCCACATCTCCACTGACAGTAACCAGTATAACTGTTTGGTCCTAAAGCTGATCACTGCACTAATTCACACAATACTGTTGACTGGTAGAAATCGTCCTTTAAGAAGTCTTACCAAATGAATGATGTTTGTGTGGAAAGTACTATATTCAACGGAGTTCTACAGTAGAAATAAGTGTTTCATAGGTTTTACAAACAACTTCATAAAATAAAAATACTCTAAACTTTCTGACTCAATCCTAAATGTCAGCATAAACAACTAAGCTAAAGTGGTTGGAGGATTTCATCATGAGCTGACGTCGGTTAGAGAACCATTGCAAAACCTGCAAAAAGTACTGGACACCCAGCTGCTTTGTTCCCTTTTGGGACTTTTCATCAGTACGCACCCACCCCACTGGGATTGGAACCCAGGATTTCCTAATCACAAGGCGAGCTAGCTCGTAGACCAATGAACAGCCCATGAATTCTAACTTCTGCCAATTCATGATATAGTGCGACCACTTCGCAATGTTTTCTTCTATGATTTACTGCCTCACCTTCAATCTGCTGCACCCTGCTGGTCACGGCTTCCCACTCCAGACAAGTGCATGAATAGGGCCAATGGGTAGTGAGCATCAGATCTGTCTGTCTGTCTGTTTTCGACATAGAACTATGCACATATGTGCGACACTTCAAGTCGCCACACTCCATGTAGAACACAAAGCAAGAGAAAAAAGTACAAGAAATGCATAACACAGACAGTAAACAGAGGTGTGAGACAAAGGAATAGTAGTAACGAAGAACAATATAGTTCCGTTGGAAATCATAAGTCACAAGGTGTGGATGCATCTGCGCTAGTCATTGATAACGAGTTTGAGCCATGTCACCAATTGTTTCCAACCATTGATTTTTACCGTCCCGAGGACCCCAACCAGGAAGCCAGTCTACACCTTCCTACGTGGCTTAGACCAACTGTTGTAGATTTCACTGACTGGTGACATGTTTTTGTTTGACCTCCGCTAGCTTTTTTCCAGCCTGATCCTATATCAGCTAACATTGCTCGTCGAGGGAGGCGATGACTAGGCATACGTAACACATGTCCTAACCATCTCAGTCTTTGTAACTTCACGACTTCGTCGATTGATTTCCCCTGTTTACCTAGAACTCTACGCCTAACCTCCATGTTGCTCACCTTATTATGCCACTTTACACGGGAAATAGAACGCAGGCACCTGTGATCAAAGGCAGCTAGTCTTTTCATGTCTTCCACTCTCAGTGGCCAGGTCTCACAACCATAAAGGAGGACGGAGCGGACTGATGAGCAGTACACCCGCCCTTTGGTCGATAGTCGAACATCTCGTCTACGCCAGAGTCGGCGTAAACTAACAAATGCGAAACGAGCCCCCTGTATTCGTGCTGAGATTTCGTCAGAGATCAGCCCGTTGGGGCTGATGGTACTTCCCAAATAAGTGAAGCGGTCAACGTGCTCTACCACTTCACTTCCTATTTCTAATCTAGCAGTCGGTGTAGTCCAGTCCTGTAATATCATCTTACATTTGGTGGGAGCGAATCACATACCCAACATTCGTAGATTGCAGCTTAAGGTGTTTAGAAGACTCTGCATTTTGTCAGCGTCCTCGCCTGGAAGGACTATATCGTCTGCATATTCTAAGTCAACGAGATTATTCTCTGGTGGTAGCAAGTCAATCCCTGAGTCGCTGAAGTGAGTTTTTCGGAATTCCCTTTACAGCCAACCATCGCCAGAGAACCTCTCGGTCAATAGAATCGAATTCCGCCCTTAGGTCATGAAATATGACGATTGTTGGACGCCGGTAGAAATGCCTATGTTCTAGAATCTGTCGGAGGGTGAAGATATGATCAATGTACCCTCTTCCTGGTCTAAAGCCTGCCTGGTGCTCTCGTGTTTGTGCCTCCCGAGCACCACTTAGTCTACGGATGATTATTGAGCCTAGGACTTTAGATACTATATTAGTCAAACTAATCCCTCTGTGATTATCACATAAAAACTTGTCTGCCTTCTTGTATATGGGGATAATCAGTGACTCACACCAACCTGATGGGACTTCCTCTGATTCCCAGACGCTTCCTAGTACCTCAGTTAATGCAGACAGTAAACTGTCTCTTCACGTACTTAAATACCTCTGGAGTCATTTCATCAGGTCCTGCTGCTGAGCATCAGATCAATTTTCAAGTATTGCTTTTCAATAGTTCTCTCTAACTGATGTCAGCTCATAATGAAATCCTCCAACCAATCAAACAAACAAAATTCCACAAAAAAATACCAGTACTTGAAAAATAAGTTAAACATTGTAAGCAACAAAAAAATGCAAAACCTACCAGTCAACTGTGGTCCTGTCAGAAAACAGTGCAACAATTGAAATACTTTTAATCTTCCAGATTTTGTCAAACTCTGAATAGATAAATGACCAAATATACCATTTTGAACAATTCGTTCAGCTTGTTGTGAATTAATCAGACTGCAGCCATTAGACCAAACAGATTTTATCAACCATATAAATCCATCAAGTATTAAATTTGTAATATTTGGATCAGAAAGCGCTAAACGATCCGACAAAAAGTCTACAAGGTGATCAACTGCGTGAGACAAAAAAAAGGGGAGAAGAAATACAATTAAAAAAATCAAATTCGTCATTTGCGAAATTTCACAGTTTGGAGTGAAAATTCACTACAGTTTTGTTTGGAAACACAGACACATTCAGATCACAATATATAATCTTCTTGGTGGTATAAATGGTAATTATTAAGGAAGCAAGCTAAATGGTGTGACGGCGTAAACTGGAAACCATATACTTCAGTTGGTAGTATTTGCTAGCCAGGTAGGTGGTCGAAGTGATCTAAAAAAGGCGAACGTTTGTCATGCTGATTTGGTTTGAGGCTATGCTCAACGGCGGTGTACACAGTTTGATTCAGCCTAGATAGGAGAATCAGTTCCGACCATCCAAATTCTGGCTAACTGATTGGCTGAATTGGTAAATACATAAAATCAAATACTTCATTTTCTCAAATTACGCAGTTCAAGGTGAGAACTCATCACTGAAGGAAACCATGATGTTTAGATCACTTCGATATACTTAGCAGGTAATTAGCGTGAATGGTATCCAACTACTCAGATCAATCAGTAGTGCATACTACAGTGTTGAAAACGAAGGCAAATTGAGTACAATAACGGAATAGCTTAGAGAAATAATAACCGTTAGAAAAATTTCCATTACAGCAGTAAGATTATTTTGTAGGGATTTATTCACATCATAATCTGTTAGCTTGGGTTATGCTGCTTAGCAAAGGTTCATAAAAGCGGCCTGCCATTTAGACCGGTCGTCAATATGTCTAAGATCACCATACTATTCAGCTGAGAAATGGCTGGAGGAAGTTTTACAACCGTTACATAAGAAACTTGTGAAAAATAGCGTAGTTTTCAGTTTGTAGAGAGAATTAAGGAATTAAATGAGAAGCATAAATACATGGTATCACTGGATGTATCCTCCTTATTCACCAACGTGCCTTTGATGGAAACAGTCGAATACATAAGTAATGATTGAATTGAATTTTTGATTTTCCCGTCGATTGATTGGACCGAAGTGTTCGGTCTCAGGTTGACATGTCGGCTTCTTGTGCAGATGCTTCGACGATGTCTGGGGATTTGATTTGTACATAAGTGGTGGATGGTGGCTAGCAGTGGAATCCAGGATGCGCATTTCGTCCTAATTGGGACTCGTCAGCTGGATGTACCTGCATTTCTCATTGAGTGATGATGTTCCCACCTGGGCTCGAACCCAGTGCCCATAGTTTCAAACGCCAAAGCGTTATCCACCAAACATCGGTTTGTGTTAAGTGTTATAATATGGTTAGTACTATTGAGGTTAGACGTAAACTGTTACGTGAAGTAAGTCAATTGATAGGGTTGTAGAGCTGCATAAATTCAGATGCCTAAAACACATGTTAGGCATGCCGACGCATCGCCTTTCTCGACGTGCAATGTTGGCCGACATAAGATTAGGTTGGAAGAGTTATGAGACCAAAACTTGGCATCAGTCTATGAAGTTTCTGACTGGCGATTTGAGCCAGACCCACACAGATGAGCAGACTATCTGGTTGGAGTCCTTGAAATATTAAGGGCCAACGGCTGGAGACTATTAGTGATATGGTTCAAAATCGTCGTCAGCTGTAAAGATGCATTCACTCTTTATTATCTTCTACCACCATTGAACCCTTATGTTTTTCCATGTTACTATTCTTTCCTCCATACATTTCCACTTATTATGTTTCCTTTAAAAGTCCTTTATCTAAACCTTTTTTCTGCTATGTGGAATGCAGTAAATTGAACTACTGCACTTCTGTGTTAAATTCTATTGTTGAAACTCAGTCAGTCAGTCAAATGCAGAATTCAGACTATCCAGCATTATGTGAAATGAAAAACTTTTTAGCGGCACTGATTACACACCAGCGTCAGATATCTGAATTTTAGGCGTGAAATCAGTGAATTGTGAATTTAAACTCTGTTCCACCTACCCAAGTTTGAGTAATCACAAAACAAATATGGTTTACTCATGGCTTATAGAACATTAGTGTCTATGTTGTAGTTGTTATCCTGTGTCAAATGAACATCCCAATATTCCAGTTCATTTCGACGACTCCACCCACTTTTTTGTTTTAAAGAGGACAAGATACAAACCAATGCATGATTGTGTAAGGTTATACACCTCTATATAAAGAATAAATTTTAAGCTAGGTGGCTGAAGACAATCGGTAGGAAGCCCTGGACTCATTTTTCATCCATGTTGTCAATCGTCAGCAAGGCGTATCTAAAATCTCAAAGGAACTGATGCAAAAAAAAGTTTACCAGTTTAAGGACGATAAAATGTTATCTTTGAAGAATGACAACCTCAACAACAAACTATAGATTTCCTGTTAAACGCATTCCCTAAAAGAAATTTCCATGGGGTATCATCACCTTTTATATCCTTAACCTGACGCTGAAAACCCCTCGTAAACATTCTATGCATTCTTTGGGCTGCATTTTACAGTCTTAAGAATGATCGTCTACTTCACGAATAAATAGCACTAGCTAGTTTGTTATTGTGACCAATCTAAAATCGGATTCGTCATCTAATATCATCAAATCTGATTGGTTATTTTAAGGACATTTGACAACTGTGGCATTATATATTTTTAGAAATGCTTATCACATTAGAAATGTTGTTATAGACTTACTCTCTTTACATGTTATATTTGAAAGTGGGATATTTTTCATCCCAGTAATAAGCGCTTCAATAGATTCTTTTTGTGAAGTAATTTTGATATCTGTTAATCCTGACCTATGAGAACAAAAGTTGAAAAATATACTTAGTTGAATCAAGACAGAAATGAAACCATAAAAGTAATTACTAACTAAAATGCATATTAAGATGCATCAATGTCTTGTAGAAAATGTTCGAGAGTTGGTTTGTAGCAATTTGATTATTTTTAAGGTAGGAAACTATTAAAAACTCGGGAGTACTGAACAGCTATTTCGTCCTAGTGTGAAGCTCTTCAGTAGTACGTGCCCGCAATCCACCATGGATTGATCCCCATACTTTCAGATTACGATGACAGCAGGTTAGAATAGTTGACTGAACACGTTCAATTACAGGTGACTGTACGTTTGCTATCATGGATGTGTAAAACAATCAAGCGTTTCCAGAATCGAATCGAAGAACTCTTACGTGATTTTGAGTATAGCTTCATCTAATTTGCAGTGCACCCCATGCTGTTTGCGTTGGTGGCATAGTGATTAGGACGCTCACCGAGCATGCACATGATCCGGGGGGTAGATCCCCGGCCGGCTCACACCTGATATCAATGGTCGGCCTGCAAAATTTGGGCTACCGACATCACATACTGAAAATTCTATAATTGTACAAAAATACTGTGCGAAATCAAGGTATAATCAAAAATTAAATTAAAAAAACAGTGACTACATTGCATACTTGATCGACAGATTTTGAACCATACACGTTTAGAACTAGATGTCAACAGTGGTTTTTATCTAGCTATCAATTTGTAGAAATCACATTTTTGAAAGACAACTTACTAGCTTGGCCGGTAGAGAGCCAGTTTAGAAATCCGCAGGTCACTGGTTTGAATCCCACTAGGACCTAGATTTCCATTTCTACCGATCAATTATCACCTATTATTATTAATGGTGGTACGTCAACCGGAAGCTACCCCAAACTAGTCACACTGTTAACTTTTTAATCACTTCAAGATTATTACTTTGATTGTCAGACAAATATATCAGTTTATGTTAACCTCCATATTATATAACTAAATATCGGCAGTACCACACAATTTATAAGGTACAGACTGAATCATAAAGTAATCTTCACTCATAAATACTACGTCCGTAAATACGTGATTCTACGCATCGGTGGGATGGCAGTTAGGACGCTCACCAACCATGCACATGGTCCAGGGTTCGATCCTCGGCCACAGACACACTCCTTTACCTTGATAAGCCAGAAATAAAAGCCGGTAAAGAGGGAAGGTTTGGCATGAAGCCAGCAGCCCCATCCTGTAAAAATATACACCCCTGCTACCGAAACTTCAAACCTGTAGCTTGAAGCCCTATGTTCCACTGGGAACTTGAAGGAATGAAAAAATACGTGATTCTAATTGTCTCAGCGACACTAACCAGATAATTTGCTAAATTCTTTGCCCCAGACAATCTTAACAACACTTATTCTAATTAAATATATTGGTGCGTCAGTGGTTAAGTGCTAGAATGCTCACCAACCGACCATGTAGTCCAGGTTCGAATACAAGCCGATCCACTAGATCTACACCTTACTTAGCCTTAGTAAATCTGTTAAAAAGGGAAGGTTAGGTGTCAGGCAAGCATCTTGATCCCATGGAAATGATACCACCTCTACTAAAGCTTCAAAGTTCAAGTTTGAAGCAAAAAAATGATATATATATATATAACTCTCCAAAGCGTATTTATAGATAACTGAAACTCTTTGATTCGTGTTTTGTCATAAGTACCTACATGTTAGGTGATGTACAGACGATTCAGTAAGTACTAGTACAGTGGTTAGGACTCTCGCCGACCATGCATGCACATGGTCCGGGGTTCGATCCCCTGCCAACGCACAACTGACATCAATGGTCGGCCTGCAAAATTTGGGCTACCGATATCAGATGCTGAGAATTTCATACTTGTACCAAAAATACGGTGTGGAATCAAGCTATAATTTAAAAAAGATAGTGTGGTGCGTGAGCAACTGACAGGGATTCGTAAGTGGTATATTGTGTGCAGTTTTCTGAAAGAATATTGAATAGCAGAGCGACGAACTAAGTGACGAAGAGGAGAAATGAAAGATCCCTGTGGAATAATAATAGATAGAAGCCCAATCCGAAGGACATTTGAAGAGAGAATTTCAATGTATGGCTCTCGTATTTTGTCATAACTGTACATTATTTTGATAAATAAACAATTCGTTTAGTAAATACCTCTGTGGTCTGCAACTACACCTGGGTGTTTAGTAAGGAAGGAAATTTACTAGCTGTTATCTATTTAAAAACATTTTAGACATACCAGAATATAACTTCTATTGCTATGTTAATTCACAAAAAAGCCATTGAAATTTTAATGCGTCATATATGAAATTACTACTTGAATAGTCTGTTCGAAGCGTTATTGTTACAGGCGGCTACTTTTGGTGGAGATATGAGTTGGTTGCAACTATTTTACAATATAAGCCAATACTAATTTAACATATCAGAGGCAAAAACAAGACGAAACATAAAAGTAAAAAGGTCAATGAAGTGTTTCAACTTACTCAAGCGACTGAATCAAATCAAGTAAAGAGTCCATCTAGAGATAGGAATGAATAAAAATGAAGAGTCTGTTAGTCTAAAACAATGAAGGAGATCGATTTAATTTTAAAAAGTAGTACACTTCAACGACTGACATCAAAGCTTGTTCATGGCTAACTGGCGAGGGCGAATAGTGTAAGCAATAGGCAGTGTTTGTCCACAGGCAAGGCAATTTTTCGTTATCTAGATAGTTCAACAACCAAGTTTGCATTGCAACTTCAGCACTATTATACAGTATAATTCCATAATTGGAGAATATTATTTGACAAAGAACACAATAATATAGCATTCTTTATTAATAATGTTTCTAGGGCAATTTGTTGCTGATAACCATACTAAGGAGTTCGTATGATTTTCCAATTTTATTTATGCAGCTCAACTATTTCTTACTCATTGATTTTATTGGTAATTATATTTCTCAAATGTCTGAAATCCAGATAGATAAAGTCTGAAAATTATGTAAGAACCTTGATAAGATTTGGAGCAATGAATTGTTCTACAGAAGTCACTAGTGAAGAATACTGTAATAATATTTTTTGCATAAAACTTTATACTACTGATTAACTGTGATGAGTAGTTGCATACCACACATGTAAACCAATAGCATTTGCCAGACAGATCGAGGTGATCTAAACATTAGACAGTCGTTTCGTTCGTTAGGGATCGGGTCCACAAGCGGCGTACCCAGTTCAATTCAGCTCCAAGAGCCCCCACCCTATTTCCGGCTAAATTATGGTGATAAATTCTGAATTTCCTTATGCTAATGGACCTAAATACCGTTCATATCAATCATAATTTCATCATGTTGTATCAATTAACCACTAAAATAAATAAATTATTCAAATATAAGAGACTGATTCAGTATTACTGTTCCCACATACTAATTACTACTGAGTATCAATCTTTTAAAGGGCGACAAAGTTAATCTATAACAGATATGCCGATCGATCTTCCCGCTAATCGGAAAAAAGTCACCGTAGTTCATGTTGTTCCATGATCCGTCGATTTTAATCTACCCTGAAATATCATTCCTCCAAAAAGACTGGTTACTTTGTTAACCTTCCATCGCATACATATAGTTTAGTAATTCTAATCAATCCATTATTCATACAGTAATCAGACACTGAGTTAACGTGCAGTCTGTTAAGCAGATCCACCAGTAAGTACATTTGTTTGTCCTAGGTCATGTACCAGGGTGACCGAAACAGCATAACTTCTCCTAAAATAAGTACCGAAACTTTTGTCATTTATTTAATTACAAGATTTCATCATGAGCTGAGATCGGTTACAGAACAGTTGGAAAACTACCACGGAATACTGGACAGCTGTTTCGTTCTAGTTCGGGACTTTTCGACAATACATATCCAAGGCCAAGGTGAGAAGCCAAAACCTCCCGGTTACAGGACGAGCTCGCAGACCATTAAGCCACTAGGTCCCGATCAAGTCGCCCATGAATTCCAACTTCTGCCAACTCATGATATAGCGCGACCACCAGCCAATGTCATCGGTATTTTTATCCTGCTGTACCTAATTGGTCACGACTTCTCACTAGTTCCAGTGGCTTACTGGTCTAAGAGTTCGCCTTTTGTCCGAGAGATTATGGCTTCGACCCTCGACAAGCGTATACTGATGATGAGTCCCAAACAAGGATGAAACGGCTGTTCAGTACTTCGTGGTTTTCCAACTGCCCTCTAATCGATGTCAGCTCATAATGAATTCCTACAACCAATCAAATCCCTGAAAACCAACACTTATTTAATTAGTTGTTCAATTACCAATCGAATGCATATCTCGTTTTATTCATGAACTTGTTTATTTAGCAGGTGAATGTAGATGACCCTATTTTGTATGGTTAATCAACACTGTGGTAAGTCATTCTGAGAGTGACATTCCCACACACACATACACACACAAGAACAATCGAACCAAACATGCGCAGTTTAAGTTGATTTTCAAATTGCATTGTTTCAGCCACAGTGAGCTAGACATTGAATAAGAATTGGACGCATTTGGCTAGTGACTTCACTAATTTTCATAGTACTTTTGTGATAAATATTAACTGAATAACTAGTCAGTAAAATGTGAACAACTCAGTCTGTAATTGATTTTAAATTGCCCGCCAGCTACATATATTATATCGTTATTATTTTGTCATATCTTGCGGTTCAATACAACGCATAATAACGGTTTTCAAAGTCTACAAGCAATATGTACTGCGATACTATTCATGAAGAAGACAAAATAGTTCTCCAATTTATAGTATATATATATATATATTCCTTCACGTTCCTCATTGGAACATAGGGTTTCAAGCTACAGACTTGAAGTTTCTGTAGCAGTGGCGTATATTATTACAGGATGGGGTTGCCAGCCTCATGCCCAACCTTTCCTCTTTACCAGCATTATTTCTGGATAGGCGAGGTAAAGGAGTGCGTCTGTTGCCGGGGATCCAAACCCGGACCATGTACATAGTCGGCGAGCGTCCTAACCGCTATACCAACGACGCTCTGATTTATAAAGTTGGCAATAATACCTTGCGCTAAAATGAAAACACATGAGTAGATTAAACCGTTGCCAAAACCATTAACAAGACTTAATAATCATTTACAACACAACAAATTCAGTTAATGAACAACTTCATACTAAATTAATAGTTATATAAAATTGCATATGTAATGAGTAATAGCGAAATACACTTTTATTTTGATTGGACACTAGTTACTAACTAGTGTTATGTATCTTTTCCTTTGATTAGTGCAAACTGAATTCTGTCAGTCACGTTGGCAATGCGGCCGCCATTCTAGGTGGCTTGCCATCACGGTGCACATTGAATAGATGATATAAGACGGTTGGAGGCAATCGGCAGGAAGCCCAACCAGACTGAGGTGTCATGCTAGTTGGCACTCATGAATCAGCAAAGCATATCTGCAACCTTGAAGGAATTTATGTCCCTTCCGGGATTCGAACCCTTGTCACACATTATTCCAGTCAGAGGCCTTACCACTGAGGTGTCCAACCAAAAGTATACAACACAGTCATACAGGTCAGTCGTGAGCCCGAATAGCTTAGTGGCAGCATCTCATACTGCAATAATGTGTGACAAAGGTTCGGATCCCGGAAGGGACATAAATTCCTTCAAGGTTGCAGATATGCCTTGCTGATTCATGAGTGCCAACTAGCATGACACCTCAGTCTGGCTGGGCTTCCTGCCGATTGCCTCCAACCATCTAATATCAAAACTTTTCGATTACAGAACAACTGATTGGATGAAAATAAACGTATTTAGTGATAAAGAATAGAAGGTATTTCAGGGAATTATTTATTTTATGCGAATGAGAATTGACGATGCCTAAAAGGAAAAATTTGTGTGTCGGTGACTCAATGATAGTAAGCTCATCGAAGACTCTGGAGGTCTGTATTCGATTCCCGGCCGATGCACTTTTACATTTCGCCTAGACGGCAGTGAACGCGGAGAAAGAGTAAAGGTTAGGCGTGAGGCTAGCAAGAAAATCCCATCAAAACAATACCATCCCTACAGGAAACTTCAAGACTTTAAAGTATTATGTTTCACACGGAATGCAATGAATGAAAAACAAAATAAAGTTATTTACAACTATTGTAAATGCAGATAAAAAGTTTAATGCTTCAAGAAAAACGAATATTTTTGTAATCCTGCTGTTGTTGTTTTTCTAGATTTCTCATACATTATTTAAATAAACGAAGAATCAGGTGTAAAATAACACCGACAAGAGGATATCACTGCACCGTTCTAATGACATGTCAAAAGTAACAATTGTCGGGTTAGCTCTGTTATTGATAGTAGAATATTAACTAGTGAAACAGCAGTCTAAGAAATTACATCTTTTAATTTTAATACGACAGACCAATTAACATTTTTCTTTCTACAGTAATAGGTGTATTCCACATCCAAAGAACTCAAGAAACTTAGTTAAACAAATACTAAAAGTACTCCTCTTATTGCTTATTCAGAGTGGGTTTCTACTACATACTAAACTATAAGCCATAATCAAACATTATTACACATACTTTCATCATTTTCATCGAATATGAACGGTACCGCATATATTTATATTAAACATCCGCAGTGTCGTGTGAACCACACACAACAGAGAGGTCCACATTACTGAACACTTGACTTAGATTAACTGTAACAAGTTTCATGTGTAGCTGGCATTTTTTTTCACGTTGCCTATCTTTTCCTCCTTAATTTTAATTCACCTAAGACTATATAGGCATGTCCCGTTTCATATTAGATTGTTGGAGGCAATCGGTAGGAAGGCTTGTTCCACCAAGGTTTTGTGCTTATTGATACTAACCAGTCAGAGAAGAGTATCTGCAACGTTGGAGGAACTCATGTCCCTTGCGGGATTCGAAATCGTGTCACCCAGTGCCGCCTGCAGTCAGACATGTTACTACTGAGCTATTCAGGCTCGCGATCGACCTGCTGTAGGAGTGTATTGGATACTTTCATTAGACACTAGTTTGTAGTGTGTGTGTGACTTGTTATAATAAAATCTTATCCATAATGGAGTTATAATCTACCACAGTGCTTTTGTACTTATATCGAATATACCAGCTGTTGATAAAAACAAAATTGAGCAACTATCTATCGAAAATCTCTTCAAGTGGTCACAGCAAGTTAGTGGGATATGCGGACAGACACCATAATGCAGCACATGGGATCCCTAAATAGTATTTCGATATCTTTTCAAGAATATAGATGAGAAAGTTTTCCAAAGACCCACTGAAACACGTTTGCATGAATTCTAATATATTCCATAGATCATAGAGAGTGTTGAATGCACGCAATCAGTACACCTACAAAATATGAGACAATTTCAATTTAGACAAGTCTGAAAGATACAATTTACCCTCCGGAGGTGACACACGATTCACACAATCTCAAATTACTGTTTGAAGTGTCCAGAAGAGTTGGCGATCACTTACTTTAGTATTTAAAGCTTTACTGTTGCTATATCATTCTGAGTCGAATAAAAGAAAAGCCTACGAGATCAATCCCTATTTAGGAATAACAAGATGACGTATCCATAATACATACATGTAGCACAAAATATTAAATCAAATCGAAGGGATCAAGAATCCATGGAAGTAGTCGTTTCTTAATATTTTTTTTTTTTTAATTTCTGATTTCAGCTTGATTCCACACTGTATTTTTGGTACAAGTACGGAAGCCTTCGAAGTGAGGATGGGAGTGAGGCAAGGCTGTCTAATATCGCCAATGATCCCCCTGATTGCAGAAGACTGGATAATGCGACAGACAACGGGCAATGAGGAAACAGGCATAAAATGGAATCACACAAAAAACGAACTTGGAGGATCTGGACTTCGCCGATGATATACGTCTGATTTCCCACAAACTGGAAGATATGCAAGTGAAAAGCAACAAGCTGGCAGAAGAAGCATCCAGAGAAGATATAACTTCAGGTGAACATAGATAAAACAGAGGTGATGAAGATTCCTGGCCAACACCAACAGCAACAACAACAACAGACAACAATCAGCCAGCATAAATGGGAGGAACCTGAAAGTAACAACCTCCTTCACCAACTGACCTGGGAAGCATCGTTTCAATTACAGGCGGACGGAACTGACGAGGATATCAAAGACAGAATCGGAAAAGCAAGACAAGCTTTCATTACCCTTAAGTCTCTGGGGAGGTCAACATCACTCACCATCAAAAATAAGATCCGGATTTTCGACTCCAATGTGAAGTCAGTCAGTGCTACTATACGATTGGATCAGAGACTTGGCCAGCGCGTCATAAAGAGCATCTCAAACAAACTACAGACCTTCATTAACAGTTGTCTTCGTTTAATACTTCGCTCACGATCAGATGGCCAGAAAAGATCAGCAACAGGGATCTCTGACAATGAGCAATACTCAAGATCAGATGGCCGGCCAGAAAAGATCAGAAACAGGGATCTCTGGCAATGAGCAAACCAACACAGCAGGAACCGATTGTGAAACAAATAGACAGGAAGAAATGGAGATGGATTGGCCATACTCTGAAGAAACCATCAAGTGACATCACACGCCAGACCACTACTCTAGTGGGACCCGAAAGGGAAGCGGGTGGCGAGTTGGTCGTCAGAGCAAGGGTGACTTGGAGGAGGTCATGTGAAGAGGAGATGGAAGCATGTGGGCAGACTTGGAGCGGGGTGAAAAAGTTGACAGAAAACCGAAGGCGATGGAGATGTGTAACTGAAGCCCTATGTTGCTCTAGGAATTAAAGGATACAATAATAATAATGGAATTTTCAGCATGGATATCGATAGCCCAGATTTTATAGGCCGACCACAGATATCAGGTGTGCGTCGGCAGGGGATCGAACCTCGGACTCGATGTGCATGTGCCACCGACGCACAAAATAGGTAATAAAATAGAGACACATATTCAAACTAGCAAGTCTTTAGTAAAGTATTGCGTGAGTGATTTGATTTCCACTGAAATAGGGCCACTCAGATGTTACACTTTTATAAACATCAATAACATCAACTTCATGAAAGTAAATGAAAAAACAAACAAACAAATCATCGTCTATATGAAAATAAAGTAAAAAGTAAAACAATCTGACAAAATAATATTTATTATAATTTGTAAACACATTGTAATAATATTAATATTACAGTTATACAGTTAGTATTTACACTATGGAATACTTGATTGTTTTTATCAGAAATAAACTGAAAAAATAAAATAAAATTGATGAGCAACAAATATTTTTTTTTGATTGTTGTTCACTCATGTGGAAATCAACCCTCCTCAGATTGCAAATGCATGTCATCTATCTCTATTTGCAAAGTCCATGCAGCAGTATATTGAAGATGTATTATACTTGTGTTCTTGTATAGATCAACTGTGGCAACGAATGACAAACACACACACACACACACATGTATCCGTACAGTGTTTTAAAAGCCATTCCATATCAATAATTTTCCTAATATCTACAAACAACAAGAAGAGAAGATTGCATATGAAACAAAAAAACTGTGGAGAAAAAAGATAAGAATAAGCTTAATGCGGTCGGTATGAACTACTCGACAGTACAACTATAATCGTCAAGCAACAGATGTAATGTACAATACAATATATAATGAATAAAATAATGACTGGCCCTATTCAGGTAGGCAGTTACCTGGGTTCCAGTGGGAAGTCGTAACTAGTAGGGTGCAGCGGGTCGGGTGTGAGGACAAATACTCGCCGAAGACATTGGCTAGCGGTCGCGCTATGTTGTGAATTGGCAGAAGTTAGAATTCAAGGACCATTGGATCGGGTCCCAGTGGCTTAATGGTATACGAGCTCGCCTTGTAACCGGAAGGTCCTGGGTTCGAATCCCTGTGGATGCGTACCGCTGAAGGGTCCCAAGTTAGGACGAAACAGGTGTCCAGTACTCCCAGGTTTTCCAGTGGTTCTCTAACTAATGTCAGCTCATGATGAAATCCTGAAACCAATCAAATCCCTACAAACCAACACTTGAACACATAATGAATAATCAATAAGCTCGTGTAAAATGGACAGGAACTAGCGGAAAGGCTCTAAAGTGTTTTTGTATAAAATACAATACATAAGTCAAACCTGTATGATATTTAGTAGCACGATTCAGTTCAAAGGTTAAATTTAAAAAATTACAAAGTGTAATAAGCAGGAAGATCGGGTAGAAAAGGCATTATTTTCCCTTCACTTCCTTAGTGGAACACAGGGGGTTTCAAGCTACAGCCTTGAAGTTTCTGTAGCAGTGGTGTATATATTATTACAGGATGGGGTTGCTAGCCACATCCCAATCTTCTCCCTTTATCAGCCTAATTACTGGCTTAGCGAGGTAAAGGAGTGCGTCTGTGGCCGGGGATCGAACCTAGGGACCATATGCGTGGTCGGCGAGAAAAGACATAGTAGGAACATAATTACTTGACCTGTTTTGTGTGTAATTACGGATTAAAGACGTAGTAATAATAACAAAGGAGGTCGGAAGTTCGGATTTATACAAAAACAAACAAGACAAATCTATTAATGCAGATAGGAATTGAAGGCGCAGAAATAACCCTCCTGTTTATTTCTGTTATTTTTACGCTTTTAATTCCTATCTCTGCAGTAATAGATTTGTTTTGTTTGTTTTTGTATAAATCCGAACTTCTCACCTCCTTTGTTATTACAACCTCCTTGATCCGTAATCGCACAAACAGTTAAGTTTTTTTCAGTAATTATGATCATATTATTGCCTTTTCTACCCGATCTTCCTGTTTATTACACTTTGTAATTCTATACGATACTGTTGACTTGATTACATATACTAAAATAGAGAACACGAAATTAATATATGTGTAAAACTTAGGCAATGCGGTATTACGTAATTCCACATTAGTTTGTTTACTAGATATATCACAGGGTGATGACAAACTATTATTTACTGGATAACAAGGTTTCGAACAAAATTTATTGTTCATCATCATGCCATCAATTATAATCACACGACTTCAAAACTTCAGGTTTATAGTTTTCTTTGTTCTCTCCTATTTTATTTATTTTTTTTATTTTTGATTACAGCTTGATTCCACACCGTATTTTTGGTACAAGTATGGAATTTTCAGTGTGGATATCGGTAGCTCAAATTTCGCAGGCCGACCATAGATATCAGGTGTGCGTCGGCGTGGGCTCGAAGCCCTGACCATGTGCATGGTCGGTGAGAGTCCTAACCACTGTGCCACCATCGGAGGGGTAGTAGAACTCTCCAGATATCTGGGTGGACAGGTGTTGAATCATTTCTGTTACACGTGTTTTTTCAGTTGGTTCGATAAACAAAGCTTCCGTCATCAATCTCTCTCTCCATCCTATGACATTAGATTTTTAAACTTTCATCTTATCCCATCCTACCGTATGGTTGTATGTTATTACATGTAGTGCTATGGCTGGACTTCCTACCTTATTCGGGTCAATTAATCTAGATTTTGCTAGGTTTTTATGCTCCGCTAGTCTGACTGCACCTGTTCTACTACTTTGACCTAAGTATTTGACCCGACAATCATTATAGGCCGGGTATGAGATAAACTTAATTGTTTTGTTTCGGAGGCTCCACAGAATTGATCCTTTAACCGACAAAGCTTGTTTCTAATTGATTTTGTGAGTTTGAATGCCAGCCACTTTTATTCCTGCCTTGTTAAGAATTCTGCGTAAGGTTTCTGAGGTTCCTTCTTCCTATGGAAGTATTTCTGATGATGTATATTCCCTATTGTTGGTGTTGTCTTTATCCTGCGCATGTTTGAAATGCATGTCGTCATTAATATTATTATTGTTACTATTACTATCACTACAATAAGGAATCTAAATTTTCAGTAGTAATTCCATACAAGGAAGGAACATCGGAAACCTAACGCAGAATTCTTAACAAGGCAGGAATAAAAGTGGCTGGCATTCAAACTCACAAAATCAATTAGAAACAAGCTTTGTCGGTTAAAGGATCAATTCTGTGGAGCCTCCGAAACAAAACAGTTAAGTTTATCTCATACCCGGCCTACAATGATTGTCAGGTCAAATACTTAGGTCAAAGTAGTAGAACAGGGGCAGTCAAACTAGCCGAGCATAGAAACCTAGCAAAATCTAGATTAATTGACCCGAATAAGATAAGAAATCTAGAGAATACTTCAGCTGTACCACTCACTACATCCAATCACACACAACCATACGATAGGATGTGATAAGATGACAGTTTAGAAATCTAATGTCACAGGATGGAGGGAGAGATTGATAATGTTAGCTTTGTTTATCGAACCAATTGAAAAAGCACGTGTAACAGAAATGATGCAACACCTGTCCACCCAGATATCTGGAGAGTTCTACTACCCCTACGACGACAAATAGGAGAGAACAAAGAAAACTATAAACCTGAAGTTTCGAAGTCGTGTGGTAATAATTGATGGTCGGTTAGTACCAATCCACCCACCGAAGCGGAGGTCCGTAAGGAACTCCAAGTGTTAAAACGCCATAAGGCACCCGGCCCAGACAATCTACCGCCGGTTCTTTTTAAAGATGGTGGCGAGACTCTCGCAATGGCTCTAACTGGATTATTAAGGAAGGTATGGGAGACTGAGAGTGTACCATCAATGTGGAACGAAGCCATTATCGTCCCCATCTTTAAAAAGGGTCGACGTAATTCATGTGACAATCATAGGGGCATCAGTCTGCTACCAGTTGCATCTAAAATATTGGCTGCTGTCTTGCTTCGCAGGCTGTGCAAAATACGTGAGGGATTGATTCGCGAAGAGCAGGCTTGGTTTCGTTCAGGTCGTGGATGCATTGATCATGTGTTCACCCTTCGTCAGTTGCTGGAACACCGCCACACGTATTGCAGGCCAACGATCGTTGTGTTTCTTGATATTAGGGCTGCCTTCGATTCGTTGGACAGAACTGTGCTCTGGAACTGTCTGTGAGAGAAGAGTGTACCTGAGAAATTTGCTAACATCTTGAAAGCCCTATACAGAAACACCTCAGGTAGAGTGAGGGCATAGAACCAACTATCATCACTGTTCCCAACCAACAGTGGGGTTAGACAGGGTTGTTCAATCTCTCCATTTCCCTTTAACTTTGCCATCGATGACATTCTGGAGTCAGCTCTGATGGATGTGTGTGAAGGTGGTGTAGATCTGCTACCTGGAGATAGACTTTTCGACCTCGAGTATTCAGACGAAGTCGTCTTACTGTGCGATAGCATGCAGGCTGCCCAAACCGCACTCAAACAGCTGGCGATCAGTATCTGTAAGTATGGTATGTACTTTGCGCCGTCTAAGTGCAAAGTACTGTTACAAGATTGGCAGGAGTTTGTACCTGCACTCACTCTTGCGGGTGAACCGCTTGAAGTTGTTGATAAGTTTGTGTATCTGGGTAGTTGTGTGAGTGCTGGCGGAGGGGTGACGGATGAGATTTCCAACCGTATGATGAAGGCTAGGGTGGCATACATCAACTTCAGCCACCTCTGGAGCCATCGCGACGTTAGCCTGGCTGTCAAAGGTCAGGTATACAATGCTTCGGTGCGGGCTGCCCTGCTCTACGCCTGTGAAACCTGGCCTCTCCGAGCTGAGGATATGCGGCGACTCTGCGTGTTCGATCACTGCTGTCTCCGCAGGATTGCTTGCGTTCGATGTCATCATCGCGTGAGTAATTCTGAGGTTTGGCGGCGTGTGTTTGAACACAGTGGAGATCACCATTCATTGAGTGTCGTCATCTGGAAACGTCGGCTCCGGTGGCTTGGACATGTGCTGAGGATGTCATCCCAGAGGCTTCCGTACAGGTCTCTGTTCGCTAGCCCTGGGGTGGGAAGGAAAAGTCGGAGAGGTAGTCAGTCTATGACGTGACGTCGTGGGATGAAGGATATTTGTGCTAGGTTAGCATCGGTTGGAGCGTCACGACTCCCTGGTTGGAGTCCGTGAGATATTTTTTTTTTTTTGCTCGAAACGATATCGGATATGGCCAAGAATCGTAGTCAATGACGAACGTGTTGCAATTTCCTTCTTTCTTCCCTTCCCAATGATAGTTGACGAATACTGTTTGAACTTGTTAAGTATGACTGTTTTCCTTCCAGATGAAGTTCTTTATTGGTACTCAACTTATATTTTTTTCCTTTTAATCTATGTTATTTCGCTATTATTGTGTGGTGCATCTTTCTTGGTGCCATACTGAACCAAGTTTTTTTCTGCCTTTAAATAAATAATAAAGAAATACACATATATGCTCGGAAATGATATGCACAGTAAAAATAACTAAAAGGCAGTCTTTTCTCTCGTATTCAGATGCAACTCCAACATTTTGATTGATTGTAAACAATGTTTCAGTTTATTCAGGCATTATGTAAAAACTTACCTATTCGGTCTGTTTACAGTTGTCTGTTTTTCCATACTACTTAAATAAACATTGATGAGGTGTTTGACTAAGATTTCTCATCTCATATTCACATATGAACGTGCATTAGAATATAGAACTCTCAATTTAGTTGACAATTTATTCACCACTGGTAATGAAAAGTTTCCACAACAATGTTCATAACTGGAAGCTTCAATATTTTCTATAAAGAAAGGTGATTGACTAAAAGGGAAGCAGATTTAAGTAGAAATAAGTAGTCGTTACTTGTTGTCATTTGTTTACGTGACACAACAAAAAAAGAAAGACAAACTACAAATCTGAACGAGGTAATGAAAAATGGGCAATTCTACACCCACTTACTTCACTGAAATTTTATGCGAACTAAAAAATCTTAGCATAAAACCAGCATGACATTTTGGATAAAATGTAGTTGGGAAGAGAACATAACGCCCAGAATTTAAGAATAGAAGAATAGAAACTGTACGAGTATTTCGATAAACTGTAGAGCAGACATGATTATTATCATTATTCATGTTATGATTTGTTACCTAGGAAACAAGATAATTGTTAGTAATTCACAATACTTGTCCATCGAATATGTTACAAAGAATGACAAACACCAAGGATATCATTTAAAGCAATTCTATGGAGTTGACAATGAATTAAACCTCGTATATGAGGGCTGGTGATAGAGATGTCGTATGTCTAATAGGTACATGGGTGGCAGTCTCGTCAACAGACAAGAATCTGTGTCACGGTGTTAGACCGTGTTCGGTGACAGTTCGAAAGGTGGATGGATACATATCCATGATCGTAAGCAGGTCACACTGCAGTGTTCACATTGGGGATTGCCAAGTCTGTCTGTCTGGATTCAACCTAGAACTTGTCACCGAAGTACAGCAGTTCGAGTTACCACGTTCCAAATAGCACACAAAGGTAGACAAGAAGATGAGTGGAGAGAATTAATACAGTCTGACAAGTATAAGAGTGAAACAGAATGGGTAATGGAAGAAAGGAATATGAAAGATTACAAAGACTGAACACATCTGCGCCATTGACAACGATTTTGAGACATGTCACCTATTGTCTCCAGCCATTGATTCCTAGAATTCCGAGGGCCCCAACCCGGAAGTCTGCATCTCCCTACCTGACTCAGTTTAACTGTCAAGGATTTCATGGATTGATGAGGCCATGTTTTTGTTTGGCCACCACTTACTCTTTTCCAACCTGCACCTATATCAGCTAGCAATACCCGTCGGGGAGGCGATGGTTAGGCAATTGGCAAGTAACTCCAAGTATCGTTTGCTGTAACTGAGTCACAACAATGAACAGAAGAGACTGCCAAATAACTCTTATGTTCATTGTTGTGACTCAGTTACAGCAAACGATACTTGGAGGTGATTTATACGGGAGGTTAGTGCCGTAATTAACACAAAGGCAAGGGTTGTGATTACAAAGTAAAGGATCTATCAGCAAATAAAAGAACAGCGAGGTAGTAGCGATGAAGGCGTCGAAAATACAGAATATCACAACGGTATTTATAGAATACGGTTATACATTCACTGACGATGGAGGCCCTTATGGCTATTGTAATAAGATAAGGCATGAAATCCCAGTGACTGGTCGGAAAATGATACTATTCACAACACGAAAGGTTCGTTACCCAATTCTCTGATCTTCTGCCGTTAGAATACCACCTGGCTTGACCCAACCTCAATAGGTGGGGTGGGATTCAAACCCATGAACCACTAGTTGGAAGTCGAGTGCCTAAAAGAGTTAGTCTTAGCTCCACACAATTGTTAACTAATGATAACTAATAACGATTGCACCAGAGATAGCTTTTAAGACCCAAATGTGAAATGGATAACCTTTTGGCATGTTGCATCTGAGCAGCGATACATTAAGATAATGAGTCCAAAACAGATGAAGGTAACATTCTAAATTCTACCATCACTTGCCGTCAAGCAAATAGCTTTAAAGCTAAAATAAAGATGATAACAAGCATATGCAGAAATATTTTCTTCAGTCACTTACTTTAATCACCCTTAACTTTTTAAAGATGGAGACAAGAACCGACTAAGTAGTTCAAGAAAGTATGACAGATTGAAAGTTCCTACCACTTTGAAACCGGAACATCATCCTGACAAATTTTATAAAAAAAGCCTTTGTCATATGTCATAATAACTGGAAGTATTAGTCTGTTAGTAGTATCTGTTATTGCCATACTTTTCAGACTACACAAAACGTCTGGAGACTGATTCTCAAAGGGCAAGTTGATCTTCGTTCAGGTGGTAGATGCATCGGTTACACATTCACCCTTAGAGAGCCACTTGGACACCACCAAACGTGTAGCAGGTCAGGAGATACTATATTTCTTTACGTTAGGGATATCGTGTCACTCAAAGTTACCATTTATTTCTTCCTTCTGTCTGCTATAACTCTCTCATACGAGGTAGATGAAGAGAGACCACATGTCTAAGTGTTTTTGTTTACTAATAATTAGCTGGTTTTCTCTCTAATCGCATAACACATCATAGTGCATAGGGAAATACAGAAGTAGTTAGTTAGACATACAATATATATATATATATATATATATATATATATATATATATATATATATATATATATATATATATATATATCAATTATCTTCAGTAGATTAAGGTTCATAGTTAAATTGAGATGTCTCATACTTCCAGTTAAAATTTAGTAGAAAATTTAATGTGTCATTTAAGTGGCATAAGTTATCAACTTACGTGAAACAAACTCATTCCAATGTGAAATAGTCCTGTTGTTGAACTATGAGGTATCGTGTATCGTTTGGTTTTTTGTGTTAAAGAAATTAACAAGCAGGAACCAGTTCGATTACGAATAGTGATCAAGAACTGATTTAGTCGTTTCAAAATCGAAATCGGTGTGTAGAAATAATCAGCAGAGGAGAAAAATACAAACACGTGTGGAAACTTATCACTTTGTAGATGCTAATATTCATGTAACAGGAAAGAAAACACTATTATAATTACCAAACTTACACTTTTTATACCAAGATACATATTCATAAACCAAACAATGTCACGATATTCAGTCATTTTCTCAATCAGAAAACAGTGCTTAGTGTTATATATGTTTGGAAACCATCAACAAAGGTTTCGTGCCTGTCGGAACCCGTCAGCAAGTCCCGATCCACCTACTACAGCTTAGGCAACTAAGTAGCATCGTGGGCCCTCAAACAGTACCTGTGGCTCACAAGCTAGTTCATGAAAAACCTGTTCCAGGTAACTGTATAAGATAACTTCATTTAGTGAACTACATTTTCGATAAAACCAAAATAATTTGCTAATGGAAAGTTATATTGTGGTGAGAGCAGGCTGTTGGCCAATTGGTAGACATTAATTTACGTCAATGTCTAGGTCACTAATATTGGCCATCAGAAAATATGAACAAGGCTGATTCAACAACCAATCACAGCGGACTTAACGTGGGCAAATAAGATTCGCAGATATATGGCTTAACTTTCCGAGAAACCAGAAACGACCAATCAGAAGACTGTGTTTATCTGCTTGAATAAGCTATAATTGTTATGGTGCTGCTGCTGAGTGGTCAATGGTAGTTTTCCCGTCGCCAAATTGTTATGTACTCGTCGCCAAACTATTGCTATGTACTGGTCTAGAATTTAATAGTCCTGACGCAAGAAAGACTGAAATCAGAAGACCACTAGGTTTGCGATGATACTTCTATTTTCCAAAACACCAGGAGAATCAATCTGTCCCACAAGAGTGTGAGAGCAAAAATATATGTGAATGTCCGAACAAGGGTGTGAACAATCAATAGACAGTCTTAACATGATTAGCTAATTATAATGGAGTATCGATCCATATATACATAGCAAATTATAGCAGACATGTCAACAAACACACATATTATATATAATATGAGGGGAATATACATTGTTAAAGGAGACAGGTTCATCAAAGTGAAATGGTCACACACTAAGAGAGTATATATATATATATATATATATAAGTGTATATATATCAGCTAACAATGAACCTAGGGGGCTTCCCATGGCAACACCATCGATCTGACGATAATGCTCGCCCTCGAATGTAAACTTAACATTGTTAGTACAAAGAAGCAGTAACTCTTTTAAATAAGATGTAGATACTGGTAATAAGAAATCGTTGTCAGAAATAAAGTCACATAAAATATCAACCGTCTGTAAAAGAGGTACATTTGTAAATAAAGACTCAACATCTAGGGAAAACAGGGTTTTGTCCTTTATATCAACGTTATCAAGACAATCAATTAACTCAAAAGTGTCTTTCAATGAGAACTTACAGAAACTTCTTATAACAGGCTCTAGTATTTCCACTAGCCACTGTGCAAGTTTGTGGGTTGGAGATCTGCACATTGACATTATGTGACGTAGAAGAATGTTAGGTTTATGTGTTTTGGGCAGAACATACATGTGTGGTAATTGGGACTGCGTGGGCTTTAATGAATTCAATTTGTCTCTGTTAATCGCATCCATGTTTAAGAGTTTTACTAGATGATTTGTCACCATATTTTGTACATTCTTCACATCCTCTAGACTGGAGTCTCTCATAAATCTATCATTGTTTCCAAGAATGCGTAGCACTTTGCTTTCATATACAGTTTTATCCATCATAACTACACCAGGCCCTTTATCTGGTGCTCAGATATTAGGATACTTTTCTGAAATGTACGAGTAATGCAAAATTGGTGAGCAATGTCAGCTAACTTTACTTTGAACCAATTGTGATGACCTTCAGAAACGGGAGCAAGAGGCTTCAACTAGTCATATAGGTTTTCAAATTGTGCGTTTACTTCAAGTTTAGAGAATTACTTTTGAGGAACACAAAACATAGACCAAAGTGATAAGGCTTGTTTCTGCAGTGGACAAAATTGAATATGAAAGCAAAGTGCTACGCATTCTTGGAAACAATGATAGATTTATGAAAGACTCCAGTCTAGAGGATGTGAAGAATGTACAAAATATGGTGACAAATCATCTAGTAAAACTCTTAAACATGGATGCGATTAACAGAGACAAATTGAATTCATTAAAGCCCACGCAGTCCCAATTACCACACATGTATGTTCTGCCCAAAACACATAAACCTAACATTCTTCTACGTCACATAATGTCAATGTGCAGATCTCCAACCCACAAACTTGCACAGTGGCTAGTGGAAATACTAGAGCCTGTTATAAGAAGTTTCTGTAAGTTCTCATTGAAAGACACTTTTGAGTTAATTGATTGTCTTGATAACGTTGATATAAAGGACAAAACCCTGTTTTCCCTAGATGTTGAGTCTTTATTTACAAATGTACCTCTTTTACAGACGGTTGATATTTTATGTGACTTTATTTCTGACAACGATTTCTTATTACCAGTATCTACATCTTATTTAAAAGAGTTACTGCTTCTTTGTACTAACAATGTTAAGTTTACATTCGAGGGCGAGCATTATCGTCAGATCGATGGTGTTGCCATGGGAAGCCCCCTAGGTTCAATGTTAGCTGATATATATACACTTATATATATATATATATATATATATATATATATATATATATATATATATATATATATATATATATATATATATATATATATATATATATGTCGTATGTCGAGAACCTAGTGGAGAAAGAAATTGGAAAAGTTTATTTTTATAAAAGATATGTAGATGACATAATAGTCATTTGTGATAAACCAACAGACGCCACAGAAATCCTGAACCAGATCAACAGAGCACAAAACAGTAAGTCGCTAACATACGTTAAAGAGAATAATGGTTGCCTGCCATTTTAAAATGTACTCATAACCCACCTAGAAGATGGATCAGTAAAACGACTGTCTACAGAAAGTCTACATGGACGGGACAGTATCTAAATTATCATAGTTTCTGTCCACTACAGTATAAAAAGGTGTTGGTTAAATGTTTGTTCACCGTGTTTATACTGCCGATACAATTGAAGAAGAAAGACAACACCTCACTGAAATATTGTTAGATAACAATTACCCACTGAGATTTATTAGACGCTACGGAAGTGTCAACCATAGAGCTTTACCAATCCAATCAGTTCCCAAAAAGGATGTTTACATATCCTTGCCGTTCAGAGGTGATCGACAAAGTCTAGTCATCACTAGACAAAGACTAAAGGCCGCAATTAATAGAACCTATTATGCAGCTAAACTTATCTTCATAGAGAAAACGAGAACTATGCTGTCCTGTAAACGCTCACATTATTCGAACGATAGTGTCACATCCCACTGTGTTTATCAATTTACATGTATGTGTGGAGACACGTACATAGGGAGGACCCATCGGTCTCTGTGGGTTAGGGCTACAGAACACATTCCCAGGTGGCTGCGACAACAAATGAAATCGCCAGACACAATTCACCCCGGAAATAGATGTCCAACATCATCTATAGCGACGCATATTATAGAGATGGGTCATAAGGTTGCTTTCAACAATGCCTTTAAGCCGATATATAAACAAGGTTGGGCCGCATACCTAAATTCATTGAAACCTTAGCTATAAAAAGACTTATACTTGTCTTATGTGTCCGAAAGTTATTTGTTATCACCTTAAACCTGCCTTGGTAATCCAAGTTAGAACCAAGGACCGATTTACTTCATAATATTTTCAACCTCTTCTTTGCCTTGTTTTTTCTCTTTTTATCCTTCTTACCCACACCTTTTGTGTCTCCTTGCCCATTATTTGTGACCTTGACCTATACACAATCTGACCTGTATTGTAATTATTCACGGCTTCTCGCCTTTTGTAAAAACTGTGTATGACAAGTACGTGTGTGATCAGAATGTCGGAAATGTGTTGCGCTAATACATTACACCTTTCAGATAAACTATGTCTTGTTATTGTGTTGTGAAAATTCAATCACCATTTTGAGTAAACTCAATTATTCAGAAGTGGAGAAAAATTATGATGACACAACTCTTTTCCCATCTAATCCTGCTTTAGCCGACATTACTTGATGAGGAAAGCAATAGCGCAGTATGTGCAACAAACACTTTTGTCACCTCAGTCGATAAAGACTAACCTCAATTTTGCTTACCGTGTGGTCCCAACTAGTGCAAACAACTGAACGAAGTTACTAGTGATCGAAAACCTCTAATCTCCTAATATCTACTTTTGGCACTTGTTTGAAGAACGTAGAATAGAATAAGGAACTGTCACACACTACACATGTCCCATGATGGGCAGTCGGATATTATGCGTGAGGCAAAGATAGTGCAAGTTCTCAAATGGCAAACAAGTCTTTTCTACCACTTTGTCGTTGAGGTTTTCAAGCAAAAGCATCAACGTCATGTAGTAATTATTTAGAAGCAAGATTTTGACTCGGGACTTTCAACAGTCATCTGTGAAATATCTGCATCAATACACTACTGCTTCATGATAGCTATACATATGGGCAACACAAGTTTTACATACAAAAAATTACCTTCGGATTTTTAAGGAAACTGTTGCAATAACTTAAGCAACCACCATCTGACTCAGGAGACCATTTGTTGTGAAACCTGATTTCAAACCATCTTCTTTTCTGACACAAAATATCTACAGGAACACTATACAATGATGTTACACAACTTTCGAGGGTACCGTTACATTCATCTCTGGTTGTTTTTGTCGTTGAAATATTTACTTCATTAGAATACAACAAACCCAACGCTGGAATAGATTTAAAGCATGATTGAGCAACAGGAGTGTGACACAACACTATAGTATCAAAAACTTCGATAAAGCTATCAAATTCCATCCAAAATCTTCCATCTTTATTTTCCTTCGTAATAAAATAGTTTAAATTATTCTCATCCTAGATTAGAAATATTGAATATAATAAAATAAAATAAATACACAAAAGGAACTTGCATATGCTAAAGGTTAAAAATAAATAGTGCAGATAGAAGCATCAACTACAGAAATATGTTACGGAACTGTTCTTGGTAGGAAATATTTTGTAGACAGCATGCAAGTTTTTCGGACAGATTTCGGAAGTAACCTATAGATTTGAAATTCAAAGGGAGGAAGGTTATCCCAGGGATGCATACTATTTGATTACAGAGCTTGAGGTATGCATTTCGCATCATCTAACTTCCTCTGAGTAGCTACCCGATAGTTTTTCCTCATAAAAAAGTGACACCTATATTTCAGTACGTCAGTGATTCAACGGTAGGATGATCGCCAGCCTCGTAGGTGGTTTGGGTTCGACTCCTTACCTATGTACTCCTAAACTTCGCGTAGTCTACTAGCTGACAGAAAGCAAGGGACATAAGGAAGGTTGGGTGTGAAGCTAGCAACCCCACCGCTACTGAAACTTCAAAGCGAAATTGTTATGTTATGTTAGTTTGTAGACCTATGTTCCACGCGAAACGTCAGGAATGAAAAGAAATTTTCAGTGGAAAAATGAGTAATTGTCGATTAACTTGAGTACATGGCACATACATATACGTCAGTTTATATTTATTATTTATAAGACGGAATATTCTAGCAGATATATATAATAATAACAGCTTTATTCAGCACAATAAGAATACACAAAATGCACGATCTTCAGAGTAGTTTATTGTATAATAATTTTCTCTTCATCCAGGAGTCTCAAGTAAAACAGCACATGTGACACAAGGCTGTTCGATCCGAAGAATAGAATAGTCATATATATATATATATATATATATATATTGTGAAATGGTAAGTACTGGGTTCTAGTTGCACTGCAGCTCACCGTGACGCAAGTACTCCCAGTTGACAGCCAGAATATTTCATTAATCCTACTGCCAGCTACTCACGTAGCGAATAACACTAAGTAAAAACTAAAAGGTATAGTCAAAGTGTATGCTCTAGGAGCATATATGCTAACAGAGACCCATCATTGTCTTCAAGAAAAAAAACGGATATTGTGAAGACACAAGTTTCATTGCATGATCTACATAGGTTGATGAAAGTCCAGGCAGTACTAATGGGCCGTCATAAATTAGGGTTGAATTATTCTAGAGCACAAAACTTAATGTACATATTGAACTACATCTGCTATTGTTTCTCCATAGCGTTTTCACACAAAAGGGCACACTAGACGAAATCTAATTGCAGGAAAAGTGAGACCATTATAACAGATGACATGTGGCTCTTAATATACTAGATCGTCAGTTTGTTGTCTCTCTGTCTGTTTTCGACAGAACTATGCACATATGTGCGGCAGTTCAAGTCGCCACACTCCCTCCTTCTAGCACACAAAGCAAGAGAAGAAAGTAGAAGAAATGCATAATACAATCAGTAAACAGAGTTGTGAAACAAAGGAATGGTAGTAACGAAGAAAACAGTTTCATTGGAAATCATAAGTCACAAGGAGTGGATGCATCTGCGCTAGCCATTGATAACGATTTTGAGCCACGTCACCAATAGTTTCCAACCATTGGCTTTTACCATCCCGAGGACCCCAACCAGGAAGTCTACACCTTCCGACGTGGCTTAGACTAACTGTTGTAGATTTCACTGACTGGTGAAGCCATGTTTTTGTTTGACCTCTGCTAGTTCTTTTCCAGCCTGACCCTATGTCAGCTAACTAGATCATCTACCAAAACACCATCGTTCATATCAATACCAAGGCTATTTCGACGGTTATGCTTTACGAACTACTTCGATAATTAGAGTAGTAATATTCAAAGTATTCAAACGAAAGTGCTTTATGATAAAAACACTGAGTAAAGGTAATATTACTTGGTTCTAAGTTTTACACATCGATTAATTTGATACATTACTCACTTTTATATCTGACGAAAAACCACTGGTCCTTAAATCCCACGGATTGGCCAGACATATATATCGACCACTGTATGCCTTTGAACTTTTATGATCATCAAATGAGTGACAAAGAATTGCAACAACAGCATAAGCATGCCCAACAACCAATTCATCACTACACAATGCTTGTTTACTTAGCTGATTGTTTTTCTAAATGAATAATAAACAAAACCATTAATAAATACCACTTAACCACTAAATTCAATGAGATAAAATTGGTAGCTAAATATTCTGAAATGTATTTTCTGATAACAAATCTCCCAATTAAGTATCTCACTAGGTACGTGAAAAAGTAACCAATATTTGCAATATTTTACTGTCAAAGAAACCACATTCGTTCCCAATCATAAAAAGGTAGATAAACGTGGAATATGACAAAGAAGTGTACTGACTCAATTTGTTGATGTATATCAATGTATCATCACCATAACACATTGCTTTATGGCTTCAAGAACTGTAGGTAAGCCCATAAATGAAGTGCAATTAAACAAAAGTAAAAACCTAACGAAGACTCCTACAAAACAGTAGAATAATTACATAAACTACTCGTATCAGGACTCTGTTTGACTTTAGTTCATTGTAGAACTATTATTATTATTATCTATTACACCTTTTCTGTCACTTCTCATGTTTCCCAGTGTACAAAGTAAGCAGAAATATGGGTGACGTACGATGTTGTCTAAAGGAATTTAGGTTGCTTCACACAAACACTGAACAGAAAGTTAATACTAATAGAAAATTAAGGTGTTAACAGTAGCAAAAGTCGAAAACCACAAAGAGAGAGGAAAGATATTCAACAACATCCTTTGTATGATTCATGTGAAATCAAGTGAAATCGTACCTTTTCTCATTTCGGTTGGTGTTCAGTTTTTTTGCTGACCCTAACATGGAAGGATACATTCTTTAATACGACTTAGAACAAAGATTATTCTTTTGTGAACTAGTTTAGCGTCATGGCTTACAACTTCATGATTGTGTGCTGCCAAGGTAAATATTGTTAAAATTATAGACTGTAATTTGGCAAGCGTAACACAACGCAATTACCACTGCTAGTAAAGGTTCGCAATCACATTAACTCACTTTACTCTATAGCCTTATGCCTCATGCCTGTGACTTGCATTCCTCATAAACTGATAACAGAGCATAGTAACTTGGGCTGTATAAAGGAAGAACACATCCTGGTGGTAACTTAATACATGAATAATAACGATGGTGGAAGAATATCTGGTCGGGGCATCGTCAAAGATGAACTAAAGTAAATCTTAACCATTTCACTACGTGAAACTGTGTTAAATTTAATATAAACGAAACCAAACAGCTGACTAACCGATATTGACACAGCGATTAACGTGTTGTTCTTGAAACTATTCAGCAAAAACTCAAACAGATAGTTTGTTGTCGTGTTCAAACCATTTGGCCAATAACTGTTCGAAAGACAATGATAAATTTGAGTAAAATACTTGCTAACTTTTGTAAAGTAAGCTCCAACTGTAAAGTAACGTTATGTTCGCACAATTTACTACATAATGATACACTAAGTTGTTCCGTAATACCCCCAGTAAAATCACACAGGGCCTCAGCTAATTCACCTCCTTCTAAAGCTGCATAACCACCCATGATTCTTAATAAGAAAAGGATACATGTTGAAAACGGTGCTTAGAAGAAAAATGAGACAGACTAAGAGCAAACAATTAAACACAAAAAATGAACAAATAAAGTACTTTGCGTATGCCTTCTCAAGAAGTGAGCACCAGAACTCATTTTTATCAGAAGAATGGCAATAAAGTAGTTCGCCATTTGATGTAGGCAAAAGATCATCTATGACAACGCGAGTCCAAGTACCATAACGCCAAAATTTAAATTCCAAAATGCCATAGTACTCTTTCCATAAACAATTGGAAAAGGGGATAACCTATCAAAATATGAAACTGGCTTATGAATATTGACTTACTTTATGTCTCAAATGCTTATGCAAACGAAGGCAAATACAAGCAGCTACAAACCAACAATTTCCAAGACAGCCTTGATAGACACTTGTTGGACAAGAATCATCACCGAATAGATATGGCTTAGAGGACAATTCATTTGGTCTTTTCCAAGATATATTGCAATTTTTAGTAAAATAGGTACTTTTACTGGGATAAATGATATCAGTAGGGAATTCTGGGTCAACAAATAATGAATCTCTTAAGCGATAATGTTTCCTCAACTTTGAAAGGCTTTGATTTTTGTATCTCATTTAGATCATGGTAATCACCTTGCAATCACATCTGAAAATAGAAACAAATCAACTTAAGTTTGGGATAATATCACGGGCATTATTGATACACTTAATTTCGAATCAATTAACACATTTGACATTCAAAATATTAAGAGATCCCTTATTGGCAAACAAGTGAATTTGTAAGTGGTTTTAAGCATATTTCTTTTCTCAGGGTACTTATAAATACGTCCGTATATCGTAGGAATTGTGAAATGAGATGTGGAAACACATCGAAACAGAAACTGGCATCACTGAGCAGCATGGAAATAATAACGGTAGGACTGAAAAGTACATATCAAGGACACTGGTTGAATGACGCTTTAGGTTCCCAGGATTTCGGTGACTCGATTGTCTCATTCGTATAAGTTACCATTTTTCATAAGTATGTTATCATATTCACTGACCGCGTGTATATGTCAGTAAATTACATTAGGGGCCTATACAACCACAAACTGCTTTCCACAACCCATAAGATGTTTAATAAGGGTGATTTATCGTAGTTCTCGAGTTGTTAGATGATAGGAAGCAATCGGTATGAAACATTGCTCGACCCAGTTTTCGAGCTAGTTGGCACTCACCAGTCAGCAAGGCGTATCTGCAACCTTGAAAGAACTCATGTCTCTTCTGAGATTCGAACCCGTGTCACACAGTGCTGCAGTCAGAGACGTTACTACTGAGCTATTCGGGCTCGCGATTGACTTCCTGAAGGAACCCAGCTAGCAATTTTTTCGGGCGCATTGCAGACTTGTTGGGGCAGACTTCGGGCGCATTGCAGACTTTTAGGGACAGACTTAGGGCGCATTGCAGACTTTTTGGGGCAAACTTCGGGACACTGTCCCACGTAAGTAGATCTACCCGAAGTTTTTGCCCCAAAAAGTCTGCAATGCGCCGAAAAAGTGCTAGCTGGGGAATGTATTGGATACTAGTAACTAGGCACATTACACTATTTACTAGTGTCTAATCAAAATTGCGGGACAGTCTCAAGAATCTGCAACCCCCAGCCCCCATAAAGTAATGCCAAGAGCGTCTCCTCCTCTTCAATAGCCTTGAGGTATGTTTAAGAAAGCCTATAAGAAAGACTTCACGGTGTTGGTCGACAGACACCTTAGAGGATAAAAAGCGACACTTGCAGAATACCCTCAAATTCCCATTTAGCTTTTCCCAACAATCCCATCTATACTAACAGACTGTAGTCCGTCTTTTTTATATTTTCCGGGTATTCTGCTGTCGCTGGCATGTCCGCGTTGCTTTTGTACATCAAACATGCAGCGAAATCCAAACTTTGGAGGTGGCACCACAATTTGTCACCAATTGACACAGAGCAAAAACAGCTCAGAATGCACTGATCCCACTAAATAAATATGATGCAAATGGAAAATAAATCACCAAGTGACCTGGAAACAGCCAATCGGTGGATCAACGTTACAGATGAATACTTTTCACAATCTTTGTTAAAAGTTTCTCCACCAGAGTTAGTGCTGTTGGGATGAAACCTGCAACAAAGACTATGGACAGCATCATTTGAAATGCTGGGTTCCATGACTATCATCACTAGGTTATATTGAACACACGGTCAATCATTGATCAGAAATAGTGGACCTGATAACTGCAAGATCTGTTAAAGAATTTCGGTAAGCGTATACAGCCCCTCTTAGGAAAAACTGGGACCCGCTTTTGCATTATACTGGGAACATATACTCTATATTCATTTTATTATATGTATATACCCAATAAACAATTTGTACCATAAATGTCAATTTTAAAGTAGAATCATATGACTGGGTAGTTCAGGGTCATTTGGTTGTGGTATCTATTTTCTACTGTTGCCATATAAATGTCCACAATATAAAATTTAGGCAAGTCAGGGAGTGGAACCTAAGATGCGTTAAGCATACCGTCGTGAGCTGTAGCTCACCACGCAAAACTACCGCTCAGACACACTGCACTCTTATTACGAGCATGCACAATATAATGGCTTTTATACTTCAGCTTTTTGATGATGTGGATGATCTTCAGATGATCTTAAGATAATTTCAACATGGCAAGCTCATCCAACTAACTTCCCTCTCTGTGGTAAATTTCGACATTAATGAGATATTAATGAATCTTGTGCTTAACAGCTGACTTTCATTATTTGAGTGGACTGAAAATTGCCGAGCTGGCATGCAAGTTGAAATTCATCTGGTAAGGTTTTTTAGGATGATCTTCACTGAAATTATACTACGTGATGTATGGTATCCTGGATACTCTGATTTTACCAGATGGCCTGTTGGTGTGTCATGTGATCTGACTGCGGCATTGTCTTGGTATGTTGGTCCCAGATTTTTTTGTTTCAGATGAACTGTCAGAAATGTTGCTGTAATAGGCAGAACGGAATAACTGAAAGGTAATATAATCTAATAGTATAGTCCACTTTATGTAGAAGCTGCATTTTTCTGCATAGTATCATTTTATAAAAAAATTGCATGTCTTAGAAAATCCATGCAGCCTAATTTCATATGAATCAGACTATTGTTTGATTACTAAGTGCTGTCACCACATAGAAATCAACCACAAGTTGCAGCAAAACTTCCATGAGAATAGAAGTCGTGATGCAGAAGTTTGATTTATGGACAGAAATTATCACTTATCTTAGCAAACACTTAATGCATTCGTTAACTATGCTGTATTACATTTCACATGAATTGTATCCATCCTGAAAATTTAATAAAGTGAGCTTCATTCTTGTCAACCTACCATCAGTCACACTACATATAATGTCGATTTTTAAATTGTTTTTCACCACCGATAGTGAAGATAGATTTTGTCCTAGAATTTCCATGTACATTCAGTAATACGAACATGATATGCCAATTTAACGTCTGAGCTGCCTAGATTTGCATTTTTGTCCCCATAAGCACAAAGTGTCCGTGTATCTTATGATATTTACACCATTTAACTGTAGTTTGTTAAAGCTATGCCGAAGTGCATACTGTTTGGAGTTGGAACTTATGTACTCTGTATTTGATGGTTACAGTTCCCGAAACTTGGAACTTTAATTTCAAAGTTCACTCGGCATTACTCGAAATGTAGGTTAATTTCCACTTTGCACGTGCGCATTACTTTCTTTAAAGTAAACGGAATTATGTCAACGTGCTTTCTAATGGCATGGACTACAAGTAATCCTGATAAAAAAACGTCTTAGGAGTGTGGGTGTTTCGGCAATTGTCCTGTAAGTCGCGTATAATCCTCTAATACCGGAAAACATAAGAGGTCTGTGTATGCATATGGTATCGGCGTGAAAATTAGCCGTGGACCACAAATACTTTCATTTGAATGGGTGTTTTTTATCACTAACGGAATTAATGCATTCATTTCGTACACTAGTGTACCAAACTAACTTTTAAGACTCCGTGTTGAGCTATTCCTTAAGTACGCATAAACTTTTTAGATATTGGCTCAAATTTGGTTATAACCGCATTACTGCCCCGTAATACAGTATCAACTACTAGCTCTCACTACTGTGATACGGGTGAAAGATGTCCTATTAGAGAACTCTAAGTTCTGCAAATTAAACCTCCTTGTGAAAATGATTCAGAGGCAAGTAAGTGAACTTCAGGAAAAATTAGGTTAGTTTGATAGCATGTCACCGCCAATCTCAAATTCCACAGAGAGCCGTTCTGATATTGGCCAGGTTAAGTCTTTACTGGATGTAACTTAAAAATGCTTGCGTATTTAGACCCAATAGCTTGTCTGTTAAAAAAGCATCCTAAAATGTCTCCAGACAACCTAAATAAAGCTGAAAATCTGATTGATTGCTTGGTTGCGGAGGTGATGAAGCGTATAACCTCTTCTCACCAGACTATAGTTTACAACATCTCAGATTCAATGCCTCTGAAGACTGTAAAACACAAAGCCCTCGACTGCTGCGGCATGGTTAGTGTTCCATGTGAATGCAAAAGACTTCGTGAAAAGTCTAACGAGGCTAATCGCCCCATCATTCTTAAGTGCAGTAATTCCCTTGATACTAGTAACTTTACTGAATGTCAGGATCACTTAATGCTGAATGGCAGTTATAAATCTGTGACCATATTTCAGGATAAAACACCGTGTTAGCCGAGAATAATACGCAGTGATAACCTTCTCTGGCTTAAATTTACCAAAGAGGATTGTGTGCAGCAACAGTCACCTAGTACTGACAGTAGCATTCAGCAAACTACACAACAACCACGCTTCCCAATGGAACTAGGAACTGATTTAGATATCACTATCCCTGTAAATAAAGTCTCACCGAAAGATGTTAAAATACCTAGAACTGCTGCTAGCTATCCTAAGAAATTTTCAGCTAAACGTAGTAACTTCACCACGATGAACAAATTTCTCAGGATTGAGACTAATGATGGGGAAGAATACGTTGTATTCAATAAGCCTGCTGAGAGTAAGAATGTCAACAAACCATCACTTGTTACGAAAAACTCCTCTCGAAACACAAGCATATCTGGAGGTTTTCAGCATGCTCCACCTTATGGGAAATCGGGCCCCTAAACCCCCGAAGCCTAGAAACAAAAGCACGTTCCCTCAGTATATCCTTTATGTTATAAAAGCGACATGAAGACGTGTGCTGGTATGACGAAGAGCAGATTGATGGGTATATCTCTTGATGTTATGCTTTTTAACCGACAACCCAGGCCCAATCTCTACTACCCTTATATCCAGGATCACATGGCAAATTTTCTTGGTGTCCCGAATCATTGTTACGACCCATGGCACCTAAGACAACCTCACTGCACCATAACCCGGATGTACAGACACCCTGTCCGACCCACTTATCATTCATAAACACTTGCGGTGCTGATGCACAAACAGAATTAGGTTATGGCGAAATATTAAGTCAGTTTGTAGTATCCTGTGACTTATTCACCATACTGCCAGTAAATGCACGTTCCTTAATCAATAAAATATTTGAACTAAGGACATTATTATTAATATCCAAGCCT